GGTTTTGGCTGAGTGGAGACTCCCGAGGCCATTGGGCAGAGAGGACCACGTGGCTGGGACAGTGGAGAGAGAACCTTGTGGCTTTGCCAGAGTAGGGACCCCCGCAGCTTTAGAAGGGGGAACCACCACCCGACTTTAGCAGAGATCCCAGCAACACAGCTGATGGTGCCGGGAACTGAGGGAGGCCTCCCAGCCGAGATGGATTACTGGGAAGAACCGGGGGCTGCCTGAGCCATGGACTTCTATTTCTTTTCCTGAGATATGGTACCCCAGACTGGGCAAAGGGGGGAAGGAAGGACTGTGTGTGTTTGTGGGTGTTTTAAGGGACTTTGGGATTTTGATGAAGACACTAGGTCACTACTTTAAGTTTGTATAGCATTAAATAAACATTTCCTTTCCTTTTCACAAATCTCTGGCATTGAGAGATGTCTTTCCTCTGGCGGCGGACATAACAAACCTGGGATGTTTCTTTTGGGTAATAGTATATCATCTCAGCGCTCCCCCCTCCCTTGTTGTTCTGTAACAATGTGGCTCAGTGGATTGAGCGCCAGCCCATGAACCAAAGGGCCACTGGTTCGATTCCCAGTCAGGGCACATGCCTGCATTGAAAGCCAGGTCCCTAGTAGGGGGTGCATGAGAGGCAACCACACATTGATGACTCTCTCCCTCTCTTTCTCCCTCCCTTCCCCTTTCTCCAAAAATAAATAATTTTTTAAAATCTCAGCAAGTAAATGGAAGATATAAAAGGGAACCAAAGGCAAGCAATATAACTAAATGCATAAGAATTGAGATCGAAAACTCAGTGGACAGGCTCAGTAGTTAACTGGAGATGAGGGGGGAAAGGAGGAAAGAATCAGTGAACTCAAGGAGGGATCAATAGAAATTTCCAATCTGAATGACTGAGAAAAAAAGACTAAAGAATAAAAAATAGTGCTTCAGGAAACTGTGGGACAATAACAAAAAAAATCTAACATTTGTATCATTTGAGTCTCAGAAGAAAGGAAAGTGCATGGGGTTGAAAAAAGTTTCTGAAAAAAAAAAGGCCTAAAAATCATTTTAAAAAATGATTTCAACTAACCCCAAAGGAGGCAGGAAAAAAAGGAAAAAGAGCAGGAACAGATGTAGCATATAGAAAACAACTAACAAGATAGTAGATTATATCTAACCCCAACACTAGTGACATTAAATGTAAATGGTGAAAAATTCCCAATTAAAAGGCAGAGCCAATCAGATTAGGTAAGAAACCAAGACCCAATATGTGCTGTCTAAAATAAATTCAGTGTAAATATAAAGACATAGATAGGTTATAAAATTAAAAGTGTAGGACCCTGGCTGGTGTGGCTCAGACAGTTGGGGAGTCATCCTGTAAACTGAAAGGTCACGGGTTCGATCCCCAGTTGGGACACACACCTAGGTTTCAGGTTCAGTCTCAGTCAGGGAGCATAGCAGAGATGACCAATAAATGTTCTCTCTCACATCGATGGTTCTCTCCCTCTTTCTTCTTCCCTTCCCCTCTCTCTAGAAATCAATGAGCATGTCCTCAGGGGAGGGTTTAAAGAAATAAAAAAGTAAAAGGTTGGAAAAGATATATCAAGCAAACAGTCATAAAGCAGAAGTGGGGTTACACTAGCATCAGACTAAGTGGACTTTGGAACAAGGGATATTACAGGGAGAGGGTCCCAAGTTTTCTACCTCCTCACAGATGCTGGCTGTCATCTGTCATTTTATTATAGTCACTCTAGTGGGTGCGAAGTACCAAGTTTTGTGTTCTGTGTAGCGTGGGCCACTTTGTGATAATTACGTGAAAAAAAGCCCCTATTTATTTTTTCTCTCTGAGCAGTTTGAAAGTTGCATTTTGTGTTCTATTCAGGGTTCGGTAGCCTGATAGCCAGGATGAGGCAGGGAAGAACTCAGAAGCGACTATCTTTTCGAGAATACCTGGTCTCTTTACCGAGATTTTTCTCAATGCCAACTAATGCTCCCTTCCCCTGGTTAGGGAGTGGATCTCGTAACCCATGAGGGTCATCTCAGGCTGTGGGCCCTCTCTCTGGCTCAGCGTGGGGCCCCCCTCCCACACACATCCATCAGGGAATCGGTGCTCTGTTCACCGGCCTCTCTGAGATCTCTTCCCCTGCAGCAACAGGGAAAGCACGAAGCTACCCCCTCTCCCTGTCGCTGGTGTTTCTCTTGCAACTGAGGGTTCCTGGATTTTGCTGATTCACCAGGAACGGCCTTGCCCATGCAAGCACTGTTTTTCTTCTCTTACCATGTTTGGATGTTTTTGACATTTGGTAGTCGTTTTCCTGGTTTGCTGCTCAGTTTTTTTGTTTGTTTTGAGGGGGAGGGAGGTGCCAGTTTTGCCTGCATTAGGTTCATGTCATTAAGTATTTGGAAAGGAAGATGTGATCCAGCTGTACTCTACCATTTTACCCAAAAAAACTCCTGGCCATAGTTTTAGGTGTTTAGCTTAGGCCTGGAGAGTCTCCTCCATCCATCCATCATTCATTCATTCACTCATTCATTCATTCACCAGATGGCTACTGTGTGCCTGGCAGGGCTCTCAGAGCTGGGCTATAGCAGTGAACACCAGTCTTGCTCTCAGGGAGCCTTAGTTACATCCGAGCATGTCAATCAAAGATTCCTTAGTTTGCATAAAAGTGTTAGAAGACAATTCCAATACTTCGAATCTGAGAGTTTATACCCCATTTGCCTATAACTGAACTCACATGCCCTCTTAGGTCCCTGTGACTCTTCACACTATGGAAGGTGACATCATCAGCTACGGCCCAGCCAGAGGGGAAGGTTAAGGGGGGTGGAGCAAGCCCCCACTGTAAGCTCTTCTGCTGCCTTTGAAAAGCTGCCACAGACAGTCTGCTTTCCACCCATCACTGTGGGTGAATTAAAATCATCTGTAAGATACTCCTTGGATGCCGTGCCAGAAACAAATGCAATTCTGGCAGAAAGTATTTTTAAAAAGCACAGGGAAACCAAGCTGTGTGACACAGAAAAGGCATTTTTACATCTTGAAGCGTAAGATCTTTTAAGAATCTCTTTTTCTAAGCACCGTGAACCAGAGCTGCTTCTCAGCAATTTGCGGGGACCCGATGATCGCGGCGCTGTGGCCCACGCTGATGCGAAGCCAATTTCTTTGTATCACCTCCCTGCAGCCACCTCTGCTGCGTTCCCCGAGTTCCACTCGGGTGCTTTGGTCCTTCCAAGACACCATGACATTAACTCACTCAGCAAATAGATGAGCCACCGTGTACGAGACAGTGCGCGGGGGATGCTGCGGGCAGCGGGGCTAGAAATAAACAATACCGCACCAACCCGGGAGGAACTACGGGGCAAGTGGAATGGCGCAGACGAAGCAGGCGCAGATTCTGAAGGTGAAGAGATGACGTACAGCACGCTGCAGGGACCAGTCCTGCATTTCCAGATCCAAGAGAGGCTGGGGCCTGACACGCTCCCCCACCGGTGGAGAGTCCCCTAGCAAACAGCCCCTCGTCAGAGCTCACAGCTCACAGGAACAGAGCCCCCCACAGGTCAGACCCACACGTGACATTCTGCTGTGTGCAGAGGCCCGTGGAATTTGCTGGAGAGATCACACGCACCTTCTGGTGTCTTTTGAGTGTAAACACTGTTTCTTTTAGGGGCTCACGTGGGAGCTCATCGTTCATAAATTCGTTTGAACGGTATTTGGAAATCTCCGAGGCCACCAGCTCCATCAAATCCCCGGCCGCAAGCATCCTTGATTTGCTCACACGCTTTACATCCCAAAGGCTAGTGTCCCCTTGTGAAGGGTTTTTAGGAACGGGGAACAAATTCATGCATTCATCTCCTTTTCTCAGATTCTGAATCTTTTGGCTTTCCCCTCCCCAACGCTGGGGCTTCAGTATCTAACTCAGACCCCATGGCCATAATTAAGGCGGTCGGTTGTCAGGGCTGCTACCTACTTCCTCCATGAGCGGTGCACGGCCAGGAGCTCCCTCGGCTTCCCAGGCTCCTCCTCGCGTGGTAGCTCCATGCGGCCACGCTGGAGACTCACTTCTGCGCAGGGCTAACTGTGGAGGCGCGTCCAGAGAAAACTTTGTTAAAGGCAGCGAAGGGGCTGCTTCCTTGCAGGAACAGGTCCGCGTTGAAAGCAATGCCTGCCGCACTAAGCATCACATACCCGTGCAGGGTAAGAAAGTGTCTGCCCTAGAGAAGAGAGGGCCCTGCTAACATTCGGAGGAAAAACACTTCGAAATTGGCTGTGTGGAAACCTAATGGGAAAGCAACGTATAGGGCAAGCGCCACCTAGTGACTGGACCTGGAAGTGCTACTCAGTTACATCAAAAGACCTCAGCAGATCTCAAATGGTGAGGTATCAAGTCCCCGTTCAGGTAAATTGTAATTTATAATCAGGTGAAAAAAAATATGGTTTTGTTCCATGAGATTTATGGAGATATTCTCGAAAAATATCTTATAGCTTTTAGATCTGATTGGCTGGTTAAATCTTCTATTAACAGATGCCCAATTTGAAAGGAAAATGCTAAGCATTGTCATGTTTCAAAGGAAACCTTTGCAAAACCCATTTTGGATGAATAATGGTTTTTCTTTCCAAAAAAGGACCTAGAGACTCAAAAAAAAACATTCCTCATCCTAAAAAACACAGGGAGCACTTCACAGCGCGTCCACAAGCCAGCCAGCTCTGACCGCAGTGACTGCAGAGCAAAGGCTTGCACTCGGCAGGTTCACGTCCGCGCAGATTTCAACCCACGCAGCTCAAAACCTGCGCTGTTCCAGGGTCAGCTGGCCTTCCGACCTGCACTGGGAACCCCCGCATCTGCAGGGCTGATGCTACTCGCACGTGGGCTTTTGATGACTCGGGCATCGGCGCCCTAACCCCGTGTCGTAAGGGCCAACTTGCCTTTGTCGGCACAGGGTCCTGCCCTAAAAGAGAAACACTTTACCCCTCTTGCTCGAGATGATCTTTTAATACAGAAAACCAGTCTACAATGTTTCTTAAAGCAAGTTATAATTTTATTCACTTTTCAGTATTCTTACAACCTTTTACATTGCTAATAAAATTCAAACCACAGCAACTAGACACGAAAGTTTGAGAGTTTACTTGAAAGTGACACAGAAAGACCAGACCACGTCCTTGACACTGCCGGACTCACAGAGCAGCGAGTGCAGGGAGGTGACTTTATTTAGCTGCAGCCTTCCGCAGTCGCGGCTGAGCAGCTTTCGAGCCGGGTCACATCTGGGCCGAGAATGGAGTGAGACACTTTGACTTAAGCAACAGAAAACTAAAGTCAGAGGAATGAAATAGATTTCCAAACACTGCGGAGTTTGTGCCTCTAGTTAAAGTAAGTTTAAATTTTTTCACAGAAAAAAAAAATACATTTAAGGCAAATAAAACCAAATTCCAGATTAGCATTGTTCAGTGTTTTGTTTTGCTTTTTTTTTTTTTAATTTGACCTTCATCAAGGCAGGCAAAGTACAGATGCTGTACATTAAAAACACACAAACGCGTCACTCATGACACACTGACCCCTGCAGGCAGAAGGACTTCCTCGGGGCGCTGCTCCTCTCTGAAGCGCATGACCGCAGCTAAATGTACAGGGAGCCGTCTGCTGGGCCCACGTAGCCGACGCCGATCAGCAGCACGTCTATCAGCGTCCATATGCCCAGGCCCCCGAAGCTGAAGAGCTTGCCGAGGCCTTCTCTCCACTGGCCCAGGTAGAAGCGGTCGGCTCCGAACCCGCCGAGGGTGATGCTGTAACACCAAACAGGACTGGAATCCACCAGATGCCCCCCGACTGCCCACAGCCAGGGGTGACCCCATAACACCACTCAGTCACACCCGGGAAAGGCTCTCTAATGACCCTAACTCTCTTTTAGGAGACAAGGATTATTTCACATGTCACAGCACCAAATGAGTATTTCCAATCCCTGGTGGGGGTCTGCGTACGCCAAGGGCTGACTTTAAGTGACATTTTCCACACGGGGACACCCGGCCATATCTGCAGGGCAGGAGAAGCTACTGGCGTCTAGTAGGGAGAGTCTGCAGATGCTGCTGAACATCCTACTATGCTCAGGGCGTGCCCCCAACAAGGAATCCCTGGGCCCCGATGCCAACAGTGACCAGGCTAAGAACCCCTGCCCCAGGGCTCTCTGCAGGCCACGGGGCCTCAGGCTCTGACTCTGCCCCTTCGCCCAGGAACGGCACAGCTTTTAGTTAGCGAACCCTTCGCCAGCTCCCTCCTGTGCTTCCCTCTACTGGGAAGAATGGGCACAACGCTCCCCCCAAACTGTGGGAAAGTTAAAAAAAAAATTCAAGCACATTTCTAGGTAAAAATTCTAAGTCCATAATTATTTCTGGATGGTGGAATTCTAGGTGACTTTTAATTTCTTTGTCGTTTTCACTTTTTCCAGTGTTCAGTATTATGCATGTATTACTTTTTAAAATAAAGAAGTTACTAAAATTAAAATATACATCATAAAGCTACCTACCATATTTTGCCATGTATAGTGCACACTTTCTTGCCCAAATTTTTGAGGGGAAAATAAGGACGTGCACTATACGTGGGTATAATGATGACACGCCACGGGCGTAACAACCCTGTGTATAATGCGCATGAGACCGCAGGTGCACGTTATACACAGCAAAACACGGAACCTGAAATACTATACGGTATTTTCTGACTCATGGTATGTTCACAATGGGAAACTCAGGCCGGTTCTCATGATCTGTAACCATGACTCAGTTAAGTCACGGGCAGGCCTCTTGGGAGAAAAGCCAACTTCCTGCCATTAAAGCACATAAACGTGCTGGTCTGATCACCTAAGGAACTCCCACCGCTCTGTGCCCTCAGGTCTGTCGGACCCGTGGGAGGATCGAGTGGAGGAGGAGCTCATCTGAGCTCAACCTCTGGAAGAAGCCACTCAACAAAATCCAAACGGCACCGTCAGCTACTCAGTGACAAAGCTCACCTCAGCGCCAGGGCTGTGGACCACTTGTAACCTCCAGTCCAGTTGCAGTACAGCATTTTCGGGAAAGTCCGGTTACCTTTAACAAAGAGAAAATGCTCTATTAGAAACGTGGGTATGAAAATACTCTTACACAGCCCTGGTTGGTGTGGCTCAGGGGACTGAGTGCCAGCCTAAACCAAAGGGTCGCCGGTTCGATTCCCGGTTGGGGAACACACCTGGGCTGCAGGCCAGGTCCCTAGGGAGGGGCGTGCCACAGGCAACCACACATTGATGTTCTCTCCTTCTCTTTCTCCCTCTCCTCTTTCTAAATGTAAATAAATAAAAAATCTTTAAAAAAGTACCCGTACACGGACCCTTAACTGTAACCAGAGGCCTTGTAAGTAAAAACCTACAAAGCACACACTGGTTACAACAGTGTTCCCTGGAGTGAAGGGTGAAAACAGAGAGCGCTGCCGTCTCTAAGCGCAGACTGAACACGGACACTGGTCAGGTGAAGGCTGCAGCATGAAGACTGGGGAATGCCCCGCCGGCTCTCAAGACCGGAAGCAGGAGGGTGGAGATGCCAGCATGCTGCTGAGGCAGACAGTCAAGGGGGAGCCCACCCACCTGCACAGAAGCACGTCCACGGAACAAAGGGTCCCGGGAGCACTGGCTGTCCGTGTGGGAAGAGCCTGGACCCGCCTCACCCCACAGACCACAGCCTGCTGCGATGGATCACAGACCTACATGTGAGAGGTCCGACTCACAGCTAAGAAAAGAAAAGAAAAGAAAAAAGAAAAGAAAAGAAAAGAAAAGAAAAGAAAAGAAAAGAAAAGAAAAGAGAAAAGAAAAGAAAAAGTATTTCCACAAGCCTGGAATAAGAAGAGATTTCTTACAACCAAAAGGGGCTAACTAGGAAACACTAACAACCTTCAACCAGCTCAAATTTCAAGTTCTGATCATCAAAAGACACCAAAAACAAACCGGGAGGGGGGGGGGGTTAACCAGAGAGAGGATTTTAGGGACGTCAAAACGTTAGCATCGAACATATAAAAGAATGCCTCGGAACCCTTCAGAAACAGACAAACCAGGGACAGCGAGTATGGGAGCGCACGCGGGTCATCAGGAAGAGTCAGGCAGCTCACGGGGTGGGAGCTGAGAACCGCCTGGAAGACGGCGCATGCTGGGCAGACTGCCCGAGTCTGACCGGTCCCGCCCGCGCGCAGCCAAGGGCCAAGGAGGAAAACTTTAACAGTCACACAACCTGTAATACGACGAACCCAATCACACGGAAGAATGAATGAACAATGACACGCTCTTATGAAGGATCATTATTCAGAAGTTAAAAAAAAAAAAAAAAAAGCGAAGGCGCGCAGAAGAATCCCAAGCGCCAAAATGCTGCGAGGGAACGAGTCCCCGAAGACCCTCCACTGACTAGTGTTCTATCCCGTGCTACCGCCCGCGCCGCGGAGTAACACCACCTCACACTGTATCTGCGGCACAGACGGGACAGCCCTGTAATGTAAAGAGAAGGAAGTGGGATGAGACCAAAGTTCAAAGGGGTGGGAACCTCTGAAGGCTGTCAGGAAAGCGCTGCGTTAGTCGTTAGGTAGATGAAAGTCAATTACGGTATTATCAGACTTCATACCTGATGGAGTTCTCGTTTTATCAGATATAACATTTGAAAAGATAAGCACACGGCAAATTTTCTGGACTTTTTTTTAGTTCACTGAGTTTACAATGGAGGCATAACTGCAAAGTGCCGATGAATGCTCCTGACGACGTAATTTAAACTTAATTCTCGACTCTCTGATTCCAGCCCCGTGAGCGAGCTGGGAGCATAAACCGTCGTGCCGCCCCGCTGCGCGGCGCCCGCGGGGCTCACCCAGGCAGTGCACGTGGTCCCGCACCGTGCAGTTGGCAGTGTAGCGCTGCCGGGGACAGGACACCGTCATGCAGGCGGTGGAGTTGGAGCACTCGTACTCGGTCTCGGGGAGCTGCCAGCAGAACCTGCAGGTCATGTTGATGACGAAGTTCTTTTGGGACCTGAAGTCCTGATCCTAGGGAGCAAAGGACACAGAATTCACCACCGGCAATGGAGTGGCAGCTCATTAACGCGTCAAGAAAAGGAAACAAGTCGTATGGCACAAGTCTGTAACATACTTGATGATCTGGCAGGAAGTGGCATGGAAACAGGTACCAAACCATTACACACGCAAAACAAATGAGTGATCCTATGCTCATAAAAATTTACACCCAAAAATGTATACCCAAGGAAAAAAAGTAGAGGAATTCTACTTTTCTAGAGGAAATCTACTACTACTAGAGGAATTCTACTTATTCACATCAAAACCATTAAGGTTATTTTAGGGTGGTAAGATTAGGCTATCACTTGTACCTTGCTAAATTTGTAATATTATTACATAACATTAAGCATGTGTACTTTTTGCCCTGGCTGCTGGTATAGCTCAGTGGATTGAGTGCCGGCCTGCTAACTAAGGAGTCGCTGGTTTGATTCCCAGTCAGGGCACATGCCTGGGTTGTGGGCCAGGTCCCCAGTAGGGGGAACTCGAGAGGCAATCACACATTAATGTTTCTCTCCCTCTTTTCCCCTCCCTTACCTTCTCTCTAAAAACAAAAAACAAAAATTTTTAATCTTTTTGAAAAAGCATGCGTACTTTTGTACAGGAAAGAGGAAAGTTTCTTTATAAAGCCAGGGAGTCACACACAGGTGAAAGGAGGGAGGAGGACATGTGTTCGAGGTCACTGTACTGCAAGTCAGGAGTAGAATCCTGGACCCCCCCCGCCAGCTAATGCTCCTAGAAGCACCGCGCACAGGGCGGCCAGTCCCAAACCTCCCCAGATGTCACCTGCACCCTGTCCAGGCCGCTACTGCTGCTCCCTCACAGGCAGCCCCGAAGGTCTGCCCACTTACAACCACACGTACAGACTCAACAGGGGTTCACTGCTGGCCCTTCGCTTCTGAGACCAGACTTTTTCGTTTCAACTTTAAAAGTCATTCTTGTGTTTTCTGCTTATAAAAGTAGCACGTGTTCTCTGTAAATTGCACATTTGGAAATTACAAAAAAAAAGAACCCCTGTCACCTCTCCAAAAAAAGACCCACTTTTAATCTCATTTCATCTTTTAATTCTGTAATATAAATTTACAGAAGCAGAATTATACTGAAAGCATTTTGTATCCATTTACCCCCCACTTTAATTACATATTGTTTGAAATCATTTTTAAATGGTCCTACAATCCCCTCTGGAAGTCATCATACTTATTAATTTTTTTTTTTATCAATGTGTAACTACTTTTTTGGACAGCGTCCCAAACTGAGCAGGAAACCACCAGCTTTAGGCAGTGCCGTTTTAAACATCTGCAGATTTGTAGTGACACGATTGTAACGCACGTTTCTTACCAGTCGTTTTTTTAAACTAGCTAATACACACACGGGGCGCCCACTCCCAGACAGGACTGGAGTGTGCGGAGGAAGCCGGCCTCCCCAGCACCGACAGCTGCTTACCCACTGGCCTTCAGGGGAGTCTCTTCTACGCCTGGATTCATTTCTGTAAAATTTAACTTTCCCACTGATACTTCCCTTTCACTTAATTCCGTCCATATCCGTACAGATCTCTGGAGCTGTGTAGCTCTTTATAGCAGCTGCAGTCAATGTATTCATTTCATTACACAGGGAACCACAAATTACATAGTTCTCTCCAGGACAGTCAGCTTGTCTCAAATCTCTCGCTTAGGTGAACAGCGCAGCCGAGAACACCCTTGGGTGCATCTATTTGCACCCATGTGCACCATCTGTAAGGCCGATTCCCAGACACGGACTGCTAGGCTGGGAGCTCCACGCACCTGTAAGTCTCCCAGGGCGACACACTGCCCAGGACGGCGGCCCCGCTGCCCACACTGACGAGATGTGTCACTTCCACCCTCGCAAACTCAAGTGTCACAAACCTTTTGTTTTGTGGCCAATCTAACAGGTGAAAAACACACTGTACATTTGTTTCATTATGAGAAAGAGTAAACTTTTTTTTCATATGCTGGAAGTCCATTTGTGCTTCCTTTTCTATGAACCATATGCTGTGTCCTGACACCGTTTTCCTAGAGAACTGTCATCTTTTCTCACTGGCTCCTAGGAAATCTTTTTATATTCTGGGCATCAATGCATTATTTGTGATGATTAGAGATACTTTCTCCTAGTGTGTCGTTTATCTTTTGTCTTCATGCTTCTTTAGATCATGCAGAAATCTCTAATTTTTACTAGTTCAACACTTACTTGTCTTTATGGCTTCTAAATTTTATTTTATGTTTAGAAAAATATTCTCTACCTTGAGATTTTTTTAAAAATTTTTATTTATTTATTTTTAGAGACGGGGAAGGGAGGGAGGAAGAGGAAAGAAATATCAATGTGTGGTTGCCTCTCGAGCTCCCCCTGCTGGGGACCTGGCTCTAAACCCTGGTCCACAATCCAGACACCTACCCTGATTGAGAATTGACCCAATGACTCTTTGGTTTGCAGGGCTGGCATTCAATCCACTGGGCCACACGAGCCAGGGCCCTATCTTGAGATTTTTAACAAGACATAGCTTATGCTTGCTCTAGTACTTTGCGACTTTTTTTTTTTCCTCACATGAACTATTTGACCTATCTGTAATTTATTTTGGACAAGACAGGGATTCCACGTTTTTCCTGATAGCTGCCCAGGCAGCCCAACATTTATGGGATCCTTCTTACCACAGAGAAACACAGACCCCTTCAGAAGCTGGTCTGGAGGAAGAAGGTCTGTTACCTCCCCTCTGTGACACAGCTGTCCTACTGACAAACAGACCCACCGGAAGGCCCTGCACCTGCTGCGGGGACACTAGCACGTCACAAAGAGCACCCCTCCTGCCGAGCTCGGTAGCGGCGGACGTCACTGGTCGGACATCAGCCACTACCGCTGGAACAGCAGTGATCTCACACGGGAGGGGTTGCAGGGTTTCCACACTTATGTCTCCATATACACATAACGGGGTCCTTATACAATATGCCCTTGATTGGTGCCCCCCGGGGGAGAGTCCCCTGGCCTGTGAGTCCCTAGCAGTGTGCATGGAGAAGGACTGGGGAGTTTACTTCTTTCCCTTAATCTGAAGTTCAAAGTGAGAGGGAGGTGAGGACGAGGGCCTGAGTGCAGCACGAGGGAGGGAGCATCTGCACATGCGCACGTGCCGGCCATAGATCATCTCTTCCTGAAAGGCTAACTCACTCACCGAGAAGGGGCCCTGGAGACTGCCACGTGACACATAAGAAAGCGTGGCTTGTCCTGGATCACCTGGTGACAGTGGTTCTAGGACCTCTGGCTCTTGACAGTCTATCCACGTATTTCACTGCTGCCCTCCTGAAGGAGGCACGTCCACCAGACCCTCCTGGGGCAGAGTTCAAATCCCACCCCTGAGGACGGGCACCTGCTACTTTAGAGGGCTCCCTATTCCTGGCGGGTACAGAGCGCAGGTGAGAGGAAGGGACTGCAGAGGAAGAAGAATCCCACCTGGGGCCCATCGCAGCCCAGGGTGGGGACCCTGACCAGGGACCTCGACCTGGGAGTTCAGAACTCCCCCAAGCTCTGTAATCTCTCAGCCTTTCATTGTTTGTCTTCTCCTCTGCTATTTCCCACTAAACGAAACAGCTAGTGTTTGCAACACCTAAAGAAGGAAGAAATGGAGCACCCTTCTTGCTCAATGGCCAGTTTGGGGAGACGAATGTCGAAGAAGCTGAGGCAAACAACAAAGGAAGCTATTTCTGCAAACGCTCCCCTCAGGCAGCAAGTTCTCCCATTTTCGCTAAGTGCCTCCGATGCGCCAGCCTCACAACACCCATCACTGCAGAAGACTCCCAACAGGTCTAGCCATTAGGTCGGCGGGGAGGAAAGTCTATTTAAGACACAGCAACAAACACGGACTGGTTAATTCCCGGGTGGTCGTGATGCCTGCCTGGCAATTAGCGTGATGTTACAGTGCGCACCAATGGGTAACATCAATATATGGAGACGGCAAACCCTTAAGTTTATAAAAAACTACATTTGGACACTGAGCCCATGAAATAGCATTTCCCCTTCGGAGCAAAGCCTCCACACTCCCTCCCTCATCCTAGACTTCAGGAGAGCTCTAGCAAAGGCCTGGGGGCAGAGAGAACTTTCCGACCCAGCCCTTCGTAGGTCAAGTTCCAAAAATTACGGGAGGGGTGGGGGGACTCTGCTCTTGGCAAAGGAAATGCCCGAGCTGCTGGCCAAGCTACAGGAAATCTGCAAAAGGCGTGGCGCGGAAACTGTTGTCTTCCTCAACCATTTTCCAAAAAGAGCCGTGTCTCCACGGAGACACCAGAAAAAGCTGTTCTGGGCCCCTTTCCTCATGTAACAAGAGAGATGAATAAATCACACGGCCAGGCCTGGCAACATCACCCCCTGCTACTCTGCCTCATGCAGGTGCTCAGACAGCATCCCTCAATGCATAGGCAACAGCCACCTGGCCCGCTTGCTGGAAAGTGTGGTGCCCACGTCTCCCTGGGCTGTTCCCATCCAGCGGGCCGGGGCTGCCTGCAGAGCCTGCCATTCCACCAGGAGCCCAGGGCAAGCAGCTCCAAAGTGGGCATCCTTAGAGATGCCCCTCCACGCTCCTTCCCCTCAGCCGAAGCATCAGAGATGGGACATAGACAGGAAGATTGTGACGGGGTGGTCTCTAACAGGCAAGTCCGTGCATGCGAGCTTTTCCCATGTCCCACTTTCTGCAGGAAGGCTGAGAGTTGCTTCAATTTCTCCATACATCAAAAAATTCCCATCTCAACCCTTGTGACCAAACCTCACTTGGAAATGGAAGCTCCAGTCTTTGGACAGAGTTGACTTGAATCCTAAAATATTACTTACAAAACGCAGGCGCTTTCTTTCAGAATTGCCGCACCCCCACCACTCAAGTCTAGGCGCTCCTGATAACGCCAGGTTTACCAGGAGCTTATTTAGGGTACATTAAGGTGTGGTACTCACAACGCAGGTAACCTGTGGCTTGACCGTGCAGTCAAAAGCAGCGGGCTTCCCGTAGACACAGGAGGCGTTTGTCCTGCACTCGATACAGTCTGCGGGGAGGCGGCTGCACGGACCGTTGCTGGGGCACTTCATCAAGTACGGGGGCAAGTTGGGGCTTTCTGCGCGAAGTGAGACAGAGGCTCATTCTCTTACAATAGTGACAAAAGAGAAACAATTTTCTAAAGATACACAGGGTATGAGCACTAGCAAGGAGATACGACGCTGGAAGAGCAACAGCAGAGCTGGAGCCGGACGCCTGTTGCTCAGACAGAGCCCTGCCACCAGCCAGCAGTGGGACTTCACGGAGAGCTCCGCAGCGGAGGAAAAAGTACTTGATGACTGTCCCCAAATGACCATGAAACTCAAAGGTGCCCATATATATAAAATGTATATTTAATGCTAGATGTAAATTAGGGCCTCAAAAACTCTACCATGCTACCAAATGAAAAAAACTAAGACTTAGGGGTGGTGGGGTTTGTTCAAGATCACAGAGGGAGAGGCAAACTGGAACAAGAATCCCAGTCCCTCAAGTTTCCAATCGGATATTCTTTCCACTTGAACTCCAATTTGGAAATGAACCCAGTGATCCTTGAACTGTTCGCTGCCATTACTGCACATTGCTCCTTCAATATAAGCTTTAATTCGTTGATCGCATTTACAGTTTTATACTATCAGGAGTCAAAACAGTTTTCTATATTAACAACTTGTTCAGGGGGTTGCAGGTTTTTCCCCCAGCCAGCCTAGCCAGGAGTACAGTGTATTTCTATCAGTTGAGAGAGGATCAAAATTGCAAGTATTCTTAGGAGGAAGAGAAGCTTTGTTTTGCTTTGAGAAACTTTCAAAAAGGTCCAAAAGGGTAGAAAATTCTCACACTTTCACTATTTAAAAAAAAATCTGTTTTAAATTCAAGTATACTGCTGTGTTGCCTCTTACATCCAAATTATGATCCACCAAATACTTCTAAAGGGAAGAAGCTGTAGAAACAAAAGTTAAATTTAGCAAAACACACTAATACTCATTTAAAGCTGGTCTGTCTTTAAGTCATTGTAGCAGGTGGGCAACGCTAGAAAATACCATTTTCCTTTTCTTTTGTTCCTGCGACTATTGAGGCTGGAAGATGGGACACTTAGAATCACAAAGCCAAGAGAACCCCAGCACCTTAATGGTGAGAAAACCAAAGCCCAAATGTGTGAATAATTTGTTCAAACTCCCAGCAGCACAACTGGGAGGTAGACTCCACATCTCTACCTGACCTTCTGTGTTCCTTCCATTTCAAACTGCCTTGGGGGTGCCTTTAATCCCCAACACCAGGAACAGCGGTTAAGAAGCAGAAAAAATTTCCCGAAGGGAAATAAGTACCGGTTGAGGGTTATCTTGATGGAGTGAAAAAATAATAGAAATAAAAAGATGGAAATGAAGAGTGTGGGACTGCCAAAAGGTATAGAAAAAGCAGCTGCCTACAGAAGATACCTAACTGCTCTTACTTAACTCATGTAATCTAAAATACAATAAACAAAGTATTCAAAAAAAAAGGAAAGTGATTTCATATGCTAAAAGAGATCTTAATCCAAAAAAGAGAGGGCTAACCCGCTAGATAGAAGTACACATTTACTAGAATAGAAAACAACTAGTACCTGCTGCCCTGGGAACTACTGTGAAAGTACGTGTTGGGCCCGGGTCCCTTATTGACTGAGCCAGCGGCTGCGAATGCTCTAAATTTAAGGATCCTACAATTAGAGAAACATGTTATCCTGGGATATGAACATCTTGGCATGTGATTAACAGGCAGGGTCGACGTCACGCAATAACCGCTTGTGAGAATCTCACAGCTCCACTGCCCCAAAAAAACAAAGAATGAAATGCCCACAGGGTCGACACCCACTTAAATCCAGGGTCAACTAGGGAACAAAGCGTGGTGTCGGGATCAGTCCCGCGGTGCAGGTCGCGCTCCGCCCACCCCGAACCCGCAGGCCCTGGACTCCGTGGCTAAACTTGCAGCTCCAGAGTACCCGCGCGGAGGCGCAGCCCCAGACCCGCGGCCAGGGCGCGCCCGGCTTGAGCTGCAGCGCCCCGCCACCCTTCCTCCCGGCTCTCAGCGTCCCAGCCTCTTGGACGCTTCCTGCAGATCCCGGGGATCCCTGCCACCCAGCCAGACCCAGAGCAGCTCTCGGCCTTGAACTCACCACCGCCCGACAAGATATAAAACTGTGAGAGGAAGAGGAGCACACGGCTAAGGCGGGCCACAGCCCTCAAACGGCCAGCTGCCGCCGCCATCTTGCCGGCGCGACGCACTTCCGGGCGGCGGGCGACAGTTCTTCCGAGGGGCGGAGGTACGAAGGGGGCGGAGCCAGGCACAATTCCCGCCCCCACCCCACCCCAGTCCCCGGGAAACCCAGGGCGCAGGGGCTTTGCGGCACCAGGTCCGGAAGCTCACCGGGAGCTAGGGTGGAGATGGGCTTCCGAGATGCAGCCTGTTTGCTGCGTTTCCAAGCGCTGCCCAAGCCCCCGGTGGTGCCGCTCACCCCGCCTTCCGCGGCTGGAGACCGGGAAAGGTCATCCGGGGCAGAAATGCACACCTGAAGTGACTGAAGACAGAGACGGGCACATAGGAGAGTTGGCCACCGTTTACATGAGGCTGGATATGTATGTTTGGAGAAAAACCGCTACTATGTGCTAGGTCCTGTGCAAAGATTTTGATGACGTTACATTTAATTTCATACCAAAATGGTCTTGTTTACATATGAAGAAACTGGCCCAAACTGGGAAGCCCCTCCAGGCGTGCCAGGTGGCCCCGCGGTCCTGGGGCTGGCACAGTCAGTGCCCAGCTCTCGTTTCTCCCCAGCCTGCCCTGGTTCCCCTGGCCGCCTCCTTCAGGACACGCTACTTACAAAAGTTCCTCTAAGACCGGGACAAGACTGGACATTAAGTATAGAGCCAGCAGGTCTTCAGGCTCCTGGGCACTGGGGCAAGAGCCCTGCTATAAGGCGAGGGTTCAAGCATGGGCCCCTCCCTGGAGGCCAGCCGTGGGGAGGGGCGAGGTGCCCCACGCCGCAGGCTTCCTGCACACTCACACAGCAGTCTGCACTTGTTTCTAGCAGCGTTCTTTGTCCTGAGCGATTGACTCGCTCTTCCCACCCACTCATCACAAGATCATGGGGGGAGGGAGGGTTTCAGAGGGGCGGCTTCTGACTCCCCACTCCTTCACTAGCTCATTCGGTGAATGAAAAAATAAAGATATCGAGGAGTGCTTGGCCTCAATAAATATTAGCTTGAAAATTATATAGTTTGCACCTTATAGCACTACGAGGTCTGATATATAATACTGTTTTCTTTACCAACTGTTCAAGAAACTAAATGATATGTGTGTTGAGAGAACATGTCCTAAATTTATTTTGCATTCCATAGTACATAGCCAAATAAACACAAAAGTGACTACTAATGGTTGGTAGCTAAATTCTCTATTGGTATAAAGCCCATTAATTCTGTTCTGAGCAGTGAGGTACTCCTCTTAATTAAAATCAGAAATCCATTTGAGTACATAGAGCAGTGGACCGTCATTTTCACATCAAAAAGGTCATTTAACTCTAGGGAGGCAGATATTTTGGTATAAAACCATAGCTGAAACACTATGATGCCTTTTATTCGGAAATTTGTATTTTCTAAAGATGAACAAAGCTTAGTTGTTCATTAGAATCATTAAAACGGCAACTCTGAAATTACAGTGCAAACTACAGCAGATTCTACAACGCTGAATATGAGTTGAGTCCTTTGCCAATAATCCAATATTGAGTACAGCTTCTCTTGCAGTTCTTGCTTAGTTAAAGCAAATTAAGCAATGACTCCAATTTTGGAGATAAAGTTTCAGTGTGAACTTGGGTAAAACAACTGACAACATAATGTTGTTAGGAAATAAGATTTCCTGTTGTATTCCAAAAAGCTTTGCAGACTTTTATTTGAAATCTATCTTTTATCACACACACGTCTTGTCCTGGTATTTCCCTTTTTCAGTGAATAACCTTTTCCCACTTAAGTCTCTCAAGACATCTGGGAAATTGAATACTTCCCGAGCTTGTCCTCTTACCGCTCTCAGACACATTAGCGAATTAAACTTTGTCTGTATCAGCTACTCTTTCATCATCTCCTCTCCCACTGCACCCATTGGGGGACTGACTGTCAGCAGGTCTAAAGCTCCCAGAAGAGGCACTAACAGTAATTAAGAAATAAGCATTTTTGGGGTTCAAAACAGGGTTACACAGAAAGGAGTACAAAGAAGGACTTCAAAATTCTTCCTCAGCATTAAGAATACGTGACGTCTTGAGATTCTTCAGTTTATCAATGGCAGAAGTGAGTGCAACCTCTCCATGAATTTTGTTGTCCCTTGTTCGAACATTTACAGCATTATTTGCTTTTTCCTTTTCTCCAACCACTGTGGAAAAGAAAAATCACATTTTAAGTCAGCAATTTATGAAATATTAAGTGAGTAGTCACATGACAGGTGTCTTATGGAGCATTTCTTCAGTTTTTATTATTAATCACTAAATACCCATCTGATGGCCATTAGTTCCTTGAGGGAAGGAACCACTTCTAATCCCACCTCTCGTCTACCTGAGAGAACTACTATGGTCTCCTGTGGTCTTGGGGTGCACAGGGATGCGGGGAGCTCTTACTTATGGATACCTTGACTCCACCCCCTGGTGCATCAGGGGGTGTCTCAACCAGCCAACCAGAGTTTTCTGCAGTGTAGCCTAAAAAAAATGTGTTCTCTCCAGTGACCCATACTGTGAGATGACAAAGGGATCTGCCACCCCGTTCCTTGCCATCTGGAAGGAAGAAAGTGGTCGAGTGAGGGGAATAAAGTAAAAATCCAAGAGAAGCATGATGGACCGGAGCAGAACAGGGACCAGAATGGGGAGACAGCCCTGGGAAGAGTTACGCGCCTCCATCTAGTCACTCTTCTAGTGGTTTGGCTGTTAAATTCTACGTTCCGTGTGGATGGACACTCCAGTGCCCATCCAACAAATTCCATCTCTGTCTAAGCTACACAAAAGCTCTGTCACCACCAGAAGCCTGATCAGAGCATCACCATGCTTACTACAGAGTCCAACCCTTCCGATGACAAATTGTTGACAGGAAAGTTCTATGCATATTTATTTTGCCTCCTACCGAAACTTTCAATTTACAGGAGCTAATCTCATGCCTGCAGGCAAAGCAGTATCAATTTCTCTTGCTTTCAAATCATTTTTAAAGTCAAAATTTTAGTTTCTGCATTCAATTAGTCACGTGCCCACAGGACATTTTTTTCACTTAATTCTTTTCTTTGGATCATCGTAACCCTGGAACCTTGTCCATGGATTAGTTTAATCCTAAAGATTTCTAATAAACCAGAAAAGCAAAGGAGAAGATTTTCAGCCTGGAAGATAGCTGAAAGGGAAAGAGTGTAATTCAACTGATGAGATAATTTTCATATTTTCCCCACTGTTCGTCTGAGACATTAATTCATGCTGGTATTGTTAGACCACAGGATCCACGGGAAGCTCTGTAACTGTTCTCCCAGCAAAGAACAGAACACAGAGGAACAGCCTTCCCAGACCACCACACACTCTGCTTCGTGTGTAAGTAATTCAGAGTCCGGAGCGCCAACCATCACACTGTGGAATCTCGTGTATAAGTGATTCAACACTTAAACTGATACCTGGTATAATCAGGGCGTCAGTCACCCCATGTTCTTTATTTCCGCTTTTGGAATTGAAGCGCAAACAGCGAGCATTTAGGAGGAGAGATATAAATTTAAATTACCCAAAATAAAGTTATACTGAGCCAGCTGTGCATTTCGGATTTTCTTATTTAGCGTACAACTATGATCCAAATCAACGTCGGCCATGAACCCTTCTTCAGAAAAGGCACCAGATACCTGTAAGGACATAAAACGCCGTGTTATTACATTACGGCAGCCACACCCTGGCGTGGTGCCCCCACCCTGTACCAGCTGGGTCTACATGACCATAGAGACGGGTGGGAGCGACAGCAAGTCACACCTGAGATGACAAAGCACCTTCACCCCCCAGCTCCTTCAGATCACTCGCTCTGGGGGAAACCGGCTGCCACGTGAGGAGCACGTTCAGGCCACCGCTGCGGGGGTCTCTGAAGATGGGAGCGGGCCTGGGGGCTGCGGCCCAGGCGGCTGGCACCCCCTGCAGCCTCATGGGCGCCCTGAGCCAGCACCACGCAGCCAAGCTGCTCCCAGATCCTGACTTCCAGAAACTCTGAGCCAATAGATGTTTGTTGTTCTAAGCTGCTAAGTTTTGGGGTCATTTGTTACATTGCAATAGATAATATAAGTATTTTTCCCTGATGGAGCCACATGGCAAAGAAATAAATGTGAGAAGTTTTAAATACCAATTTCTCGAAAGCATTAAGAAAGGTGGTGGTTCTGACATGGCACAGAGGCACGATCCAGGTGGTGCCCCATCACTGAAAACGTCACTGCTAAGTGCACGTGCCAGTGAGGCAGCGCTTTAAGGCATGAGCACATTTCAAGTCAATATCCTCCCCACACTGGGTGCCAGGACGATTAGGTACTTTAAGCGTCTCTGGTTTTACCTGAAGTGCGTATTTTTCACAAGTTGGCCCCACGGGGATGACCATTACTTGACGAGGAGACAGCCAGAAAGGCCTGAAAAATATATAAAAATATAGCTTTTCAGAATGACCCCTTACTACATGATTAAAAAACAACCTAAGGTTTATTTAAAGTAAGGGCTGTAAGAGAGCAGCTTCCACAGAGCAGTGCGGCAGTAAACCAGTCTGTCTTAGGAGGTAGAATGCTGTACTGGGCATTTTGATAGGAAGGGGAGGGAAGCGGGGGCTGGCAGCTGGGTGGAGAGGCTAATCACCCCATAAGCACGCTGCTGAACCCCACCATGCCAGCCCGGTGCCCTCCTTTTGCTACAAAATCACTTCCGTGGTCATAAGGACCCGTGCTTCTGAGAGGGGCTGGGCTCAGTGGAATCTGCGTGGGGCCCTGCTGGAGGCTGGGCAGAGAGGAAGAGCAAAGCAAATCAGAGTGTGTGTCTTTTCCAGTGAGGACACATCATGGGCCCTCACACGGCGAAAGGGACACGACGTCAACCACCAGCCTGAAGAGAGGCGGCTGTCCCATCGGGGTGACGGTGGCATGTCAGGGATCAGGGCCCATCACACACGAAGGCAGAGGGAGGCTTCAGGAGGGGCCTGGCGGGTGGACCTGGGTGGGGTCCGAGTTGCTGAGTGCATCACGCTTGTCCTAGGGGCCACGCTGGTCATCGGTCACTGAGCCACCACGAGGGGGAGAAGGAAGCTGCCCATCACAGAATCAGCCTCTCGCATTTCAATGCGGAAAATGTGCTCACAGTGGGGCCACTGGGTGGGCAATCCCACCGCCCTGTGGCCCATTCTGAGCTACGTCATCCCCACTCCTCTCCTGCAAACCCACTCGTCCTGTATTTTCCAGTCCAATGACTTCCCAGTCTCTGACCCTGCAGCCACAGCAGCAACTGGAGCTCGCGCTCCAGCGCCCCTCCACACCCGGCCATCCCCCCTCCAGGCCCGGCGGACTACAGGAGGCACCCCTCAAACTCCTGCGCCTACGGGCATTCGCCTTCCTCGCTTCGTCCCCGAGGGGGCCGGGCTACAGCAGTTCTCTCTGGATTTGTGCCAACGCGCTGCTCAGGGCCACGTGCGGACCAGGGTTTCCTCCACAGTCCAAGGTCGCCTGGTGCCCCGAGAGGTAACAACACGGGTTGAAGGTGGGATGGCAGGTGGGCGAGAGGTGGGACCCTGGGAGCATGGGCCTCGTGTTTTCCGGTCAGTGACTATGCAGGGCTTGCCGTGGCGAGAGGGTGGCTGTGCAACGCTGCTGAGCTCCCGGAGACGTAAGGGAGCTTCCATGCCCGCCCGCCCTTGTTTTCCGGCTTGGCAGCGGTAACAGGATTTTTGTACTTGCTGTGCGGACCCTTGCTAATCATAGGCAGGAGCCACCCGATTTTTCATGTTTGATTAATTTGATCTTTTAGACATGAGTTTTAAGAAAAAGACACGGATTTTTCTTTTCCACGTCACTTACCATTTCCCCCCGTAGTTTTCCGACAGAATGGCTATCATTCTTTCCACCGAGCCCAAGATGGCCCGATGAATGATCACAGGGTTCTTCTTATCGTCCCCTTCCTTGCTGAAAAAATAAAAATTACACATTGAAGTGTTTCCTTAAGATTCAGGAAGGACTTTAGCTTCTTAAAGAGTTATTTTCCTAAACTATGTAAAGCAATGGCTTCCTCTTAAATCTTTAAGCATACCATGTGATCTTTATTAGAAATAAATTTTTCTGCCCTTTTGTTTTCTGCCCAAACAACTGGCTGGGTAGCTCAGTTGGTTGGAGTGCCGTCCCAATATGCCAAGGTTGCAGGTTCAATCCCCGGTCAGGGCACATACAAGAATCGACCAATGAATGCATCAGTAAGTGGAACAGCAACAAATCATTGTTTCTCTCTCTATTTCCTTCTCTCTCCCTTTCACTCCCCTCCTCTCTCTCTCTCTCTCTCTCTCTCTCTCAAATCAATAAATAAAAAAAATTTTAAGAAATAAAGTTTTCTCCTAATGATAATATCTTTTATAAAACAGAAAAAAGCCAGGTAGGTCTCCCCGGGGCCCAGATCTTGATTTCTATGTATTATCCTCCAACATTACATTTATCATAGTTTTCAGTTCTAAAAATTCCATTTCTCACTGGAAAGATGGCTGACTCAAAAGCTGGGTCAGGGAAAGATGCAAATGAGCCTGCAGCATCTCACAGTGCCAGTGGGCAAAGGCAGGCTAATTTTTTCTTTAAATAAAGAAAGATAAAGGATGGAGCATTTAAAAGGGACTCAGGAGCCGACACAAAAGAATGACCAATGGCAAAGGCTGGCACGATTTGGGCAAGAAAAACTTTAAAATATTCTATTTTATTATAACCCAAAGTATGAAATTGATATTCACAAGCCTGTACTGATAGAAATAAACAGTCGAAGAGACAAACACGTGAAGAAGGCAAATCTTCCTCCCAGAATTCCAAGCAGCACGTGCAGATAGCAGTTCCTCCCACCCAACGGCACCAATCCCTTCCAGAAACAGGAGAGAGGGGACCACTTCCCAACTCATTTTACGAGGCCAGTGTCACCCGGACACTAAAACCAAAGACAAGAAAACTCCAAACCAGTGTCCCCCGTGAACACACACGCAAAAGTTCTCAACCAACTGTTAGGAGACTGAATCCAGCACGCATCCAAACAGTGCCTGGCCAGGTGGGATTGCACCCCAGCCATGCAAGGTGCAGTATTCTTACTGTGATCCACCGGGTGAGCAGGCTGGAGAAGAAACCGCACGGTCACACCAACTGATGCAGTAAAAGAATGGGACAGAACTCAACACCCGTTCGTGATTTTTAAAACCCTCAGAAAGCCTGGGAGAGAGAACTCCCTCGACCTGACACACAGCGTGAACAAAGACCCACAGGTGACACCGGACTCAGGGGTGAACGACTGTCTGTTTTCCTGAGACCGAGAATGCGGTAACCATGTCCGCTCCCGTCCAGTTTGCTCCACACGGTACTGGGAGCTCCAGCCAGAGCCACGGGCAAGGGACGGTAGCAAGAGGCAAAGAAATAAACATCCCTATCTGCAGATGGCTTAACTGTCTACAGAGAAAATCCTCAAATTTTTACAAAGACCAAAAAACCCTCCTAGAACTAGTAAGTTCAGCAAAGTCTCAGGATACAACACCAACATAAAAAATTGGTCGTATTTGCAATAGTAGCAACGAACACATGAATGACAAAGTTAGAAATACAATACCATTGACAGTCGCTTCCTCCAAATGAAATACTTAGGAATAAAGCTAACGAGACATGTACAGAGGACTTATACATGGAAATCCACAAAAGATAAAAGAAATGATGAACGAAATCAAAGAAGCTCAAGGATTGGAAGATGCAAATACAGTTAAGGAAAATCTATCCAAATTGATCTCTAGATTCAATTAAATGCCAATAAAAATTCCCACCAGGAACTTTTGTAGATCTGTTAGAAGCAAAAGAAGAAGCAGCAGCAAAACAATTCTGTAAAAGAACAAAGGATTCACATCATCTCACTGATAAGACCGACTACACAGCTGCGGTTCTCCAAACGGCATGGCACTCACGAAAGGGCGATCAGTGCGTCAGGGAGACAGAACCGCACATCTAGAAAGAGACCCACAGAAATACTCATCATTTTTGATAAGGGTACAGTGGCGAGTCGATGGAGAAGGGCTGCCCTCTACAACCAGTGATTAGACATAGGACGGACAATCAGGCACCTCGATGTCACCAGGGAACTCTGCCCTAAACTTCTCAGACAAAAGCTAACTCAAAATGGACCTTAGATTGAAACACAAAGCTTAATACTTGGAAACCTCTAAAATAAAGCACAGAATAAATTTTCATTACTGGTGCTTAGGCAAAGCATTTGTAGTCATGAGCCAAAAATATAATCTGTACAAGAAAAACTATGTAAATGAGACATCGTTGAAATAAAAAACTCGAGATTAAAGGGAAAGTGAAGACACTATAAAAAAATGAAAAAAAAAAATAAAAGGAGCCACAGATTAGGAGAAAATATTTGCAAATCACGTCTACATTGAAGGGCTTATATGTAGAATATACAAAGGACTCTGAAAACAGCTGTGACAGAGTCCGGATACGAGTTCCGCACACGTGTCACGGCCGGTCACTCACCTCACGTAGGTGAGGTTGAATCGGATGGGCAGTTGGAAGTCCAGCTGGATGGTAGCGCACTGGTGCGATCGGCCAAGAGCGTCCTTGATTTTTATATCGATCTGCAAAGGAAGCGACGTTTGCTTAGACACAGTGTCTGTTCTCCTTTTACACTGTGCTCTTTCTGAAGCACGTGGTCAACTTACTTTAGGGCCGTAAAAGGCTCCATCTCCGGGGCTCACCTTCCAGGGCCTTCCAAAGTCCACAAGGCTCTTCTGCAGCTGCTGTTTTTTAAAAGAGATGAGAACATTGGAAACATCTACTGCCCTGTACATTTCATCCTTTTTGTCACTGGCTCAGGAAAGGAAGCTCTTATGAATCTTAAGTACATTCTATTTTAGTTCAACATATGTTTATTGAGCTTCTTTTGCATTCGATAAACTACCAAGTGATGACCACATAGAGATGATTAAGATGGTAGTTAATAAACACACACCGTTTATTTGGTGGGAAGAGAAGATAAGTTACTAAACTGCTCCAGAGGGACACTGAGACCCTTGGGCCAAGGCAGGACACACTTCTCAGGCCCCATCTCCTCGTGACAGTTCCCAGGCAGCTCTTGTTGGTGGCCCTCCCCACATCAAAGGCACGAAACACTTGATCTGGCTGCCGCCTCTGCTCTGCGTTAGGTGGATGAGAGGACCAAGGGGGCGGGGCGCCTCTCTGGCATCCTCCCATCCATTCACATCGATGAGGTGGGGGATTGATAGGGTGTGGGAGCAGGAGGCCCCCTCTGGTCTTCAGCCTAAACCACAGAGGTTCTTTTCAGTTGAGCTTTACGGAGATCCTTACACCTGAGGGTGGCTGGTGTACACAGAAGTACTCAGAGTAAAAGGGTCTTTCAATCTGCTGCTACTCCCTGCGAATACAGGTTCTTGGGGACGCACGTCCCTGGCCAGAACACTGATACACCATCCAAAATGCCATTCAAATCCCTGCCATCCCCAGATACATGGATGCCCACGAAGGGGCTGACACGTGGGAACAAAGGGCCCGACAGGAAGTCTAACATGGTGGTGTCTCGGGCGGAAGCAGGGTCAGAGTACGCTGACTCCTGGGGTCCCAGGGCCCTCCGTCAGGGTGGGCTGGGAGCTGGCGCTGGCTGGGGGCCTGGGGAAGCAGCTTCCCTCCTCCTTAGGAACAGCGAAGGCCAGCACCATGGACGCAGGTCCTCCCTCTCCTCTGTCTTTGAAAGAAGAGGAGACACGTGCATGTGTTCGCAGGGTGCAGGGACAATAAGCCCAGTGACAACAGACACCTAGGTTGTGGAAGGGATCTGGGGGCTCTCAGGGAATTAAAGGCCCCACAGAGGCCAGGTCTGGGGGAACAGCATAAGGCAGAGGTCACTGCTTGTTACGGGGCGTCTGAGGACACAGGGAGAGCAAGGCCTGGTAGGGGTAGCCAGGGAAGGCTGAGACAGCTCTTGGTTTAGGTGGGGGCGGGGGGAGCAAGTGCAGGTGTGAGGGGGGCCTGAACCACCCGCTTTGCAGGCCTTGACCGCGGATACTGTCCAGCACCTGGTGAAGGGGATATCAAGGGCTCGTTTCTCCCCTGCTGTCTGTCTGTCCGCCTTCCCCAAGTACACCAAGGCTTTGGACCCCCATAGCACTGGAGGCCTCACTTGTGCATGAGCTGGGCTCAGACATGTCCATTTGCTTGGACTGGTGTGGCCATGGGGCTGTGATGTTGTTAAGGATCTTAATGAGTCACTGCAACTCTGCAAAGGTGGGGCACAGGGGAGGTTTGGGGTGGGGCTAACGGATGCAGCTCCAGGGAGCTGAGGGGTTTACACCAGTTCCAGGGGGACAGGACAGACCAGGGCTGCTGAAGCAGGAGCCAAAGTGCTTCTTTAAAAACGACGACACTGGTTATCATTAGTGACTGGCACTGAAAAGAGTATAAACAGCCCTGGCTTGTGCGGCTCAGTGGATTGAGACCCAGCCTGAGAACCAAGGGGTCACCGGTTTGATTCCAGTCAGAGCACATGCCTGGGTTGTGGGCCAGGTCCCCAGTAGGAGGCGCATGAGAGGCAACCACACATTGATGTTTCTCTCTCTCTCTTTCTCCCTCCCTTACCCTCTCTAAAAATAAATAAACTAAAATCCTCAAAAAAAGGAGTATAAACAAACCTTGCTATAAACTTTAAATTGTGAAACAAACATACGGTATTGCAGTTATCATTATTATGCAGAGAACTGGTAACCACGTCCTACAACTGGCACCTTTACCCCAGAACGTCCCATTCAGAATTCCACCGCCTCTTCACACACGGTGACTACGGACACTCGGGCGCCGTCCCTGGTCACAAAAACGGACGGGACGCACTCTGTCCCTCCTACCTTTTCGGCTTCATCCCACAGCGCCATCTCTCCTAAGAAGTTGTCAGGCCTCGTGGACAAGTTTAACTGAAAGGAGAAGCCAAAGGTGGAGTACACAGATTGCAAAAACTGCAAACAGCCCTTTATTTCCTCTTCGATCTGAAATGGGAGCAAAGAAAATATTTTAAGTAGAACACCAAAGTAAATCCATTATGGCATCTAAAAAAAACATTGTTCACATTGAATAGAAATAAAGCACGTTCTCATTGTGGAGTACAGTTAATGACACAGTATGGGTTGTCCTTCCGTCCCTTCCTTGGGTGCTCACGGAATGAGCAGCACGTGCCAGGCATGCGCAGGCTGCCAGCGCCCAGCCCGGTGCCGGGGTGGACAGAGGAGCAGGCGAGGGCGCCTCACCCTGACAGTGCCACATGAAGGGGGAGGGGCGCCTGCCTGCCCAGAGGAAGCGGCGGCCACGCTGCAGCAGGAGGGCAGGGTGAGGTCCTCCACACAGGGGAAGGGCAGGCGCTCCGGGGCAGAGGCAGTGCTGAGTGGGGAGGCTCAGAGGACAGGGAAGCCACAGGGCGCTGCCCTGGGACCGGGCCCTGCGTGATGGAAAAGGGGGACAACACGGGGGCGGTGGGAGGTGACCAGGCAGGAGGCGGATGGGAGCCAGAGAAAACAGCCTTCGGAGCCAGGGGAAAGTCTGTGCTCTTCAGCCTGAGAGCAGTGCAAGAATCAGTGGGGTTTTGTTTTTTTTAAAGGAGACTAACACGACCCAATTGGTCCTTCCGAAGTGTGGGAAATGGACTGGCAAGGGTAGAAGAGCGGCCCATAAGGAAGCCAGTGGGATTTCAGGAGCGCGGTGATGGCGGCCTGAACAAGCGAGAAGCGTCAGGAATGCAGGGAGTCTGATGCGTTTGCAGGGCAGCTGTCCTTTCAGTGACTGACTGACAGTGGTCACCTCCACCCCCTTAAGCCCTGTGCTGGATGCGGGGCATGCGGGAATGCATGAAATTATTCAGGAACTAATCACATGTCTAGGGAGAGCTATCAATAGGGCTGGCGATGAACTGGACAGGGGTGAAAAGCGAAGGCCGCCCGGGCGAAGCCGGTGCCCCGGAAGGAGGGCACAGCGGTGTGGGAAGCAAGAGGAGCCAGTTCTGGAAACGGCTAGTGAGCGGGTGCCTGGGCTTTCTCCCATCGGCATGCTGCGGCTTGTATCACACACGTCCTCTGCATATTTTGTTAGATTCCCACCTAAGTACTACTTGTATTTCAAGTGATTGTGAACGACACTGTTTTTAACTTCATCATCCCCATGCTCACTGCTAGAAGAGGGAAGTGTGACTGGCGTCTGCACGCAGACCTTGTGTCCTGAGATGTCAGGGCTGCGAAATACAGGCAGAAGGAGCTGAGAGAATTGAAAGGGGAGACAGACAGATCCATAGTGTAGGTGGAGACTCCATCGCCCCTCTCTCAGCAATTGCGGGACAACCAGACAGAAAACCAGTGAGGAGGTGGGCGAATCCCACATCCCCACTGACCACCAGGGTCTTGCTGTCGTTTAGAAAACACTCCACCCAGCCCTGGCTGCTGGGGTTCAGTGGACTGAGTGCCGGCCTGCTAACCAAAGGGTTGCTGGTTTGATTCCCAGTCAGGGCAGAGGCCTGGGTTGTGGGCCAGGTCCCCAGTTGGGGGCGCACAAGAGGCAATCACACAATGATGTTTTTCTTCCTCTCTTTCTCCCTCCCTTCCCCCCTCTAAAAATAAATACATTAAATTTTAAAAAGAAAACACTCCACCTGAAAACAGCAGAACACACGGCTGTTTGAGTGTCCACAAAACACGCACACCAAGGTGCACGCACACCAAGGTGGGCCGTATGCTGGGCCACTAAACACACTTCAACCACATTTTTGTAAGTTGAAGTCATACAAAGTGTTTTTTTCTACCACAGTGGAATTAAAGTAGAAATCAATAACAGAAAGATAAGAGGAAAATATCCAACACTTGGAAACTGAACACACACTTCTAAATAAGCCGTGGGTTCAAGAGGAAATCGCAAGAGAAATTCAAGAAAAAACACACCGAGCAGAGTGAAAAGAAGAGCACAACACTGAAAGTCACACAGCAGTGGCAGTGCTAAACGGTAAATATGCAGCACGAAGCATGTTTACTATGAAAGAGGAAAAGTCTTAATCAATAATAAAGACTGCCACCTCTCGATCAGGGGGACGAAAAGGCAAAACTGACCCAAGGCAGTAAGAAATACGTAAATACCTCCAAAGAAGCTGTCCATTTCATCTAGGTCATTGAATTTATTGGCATCAAGTTGTTCATAGCATTGGCTTATTATCCTTTCAATATTTATAGATTCTGCAGTGATCTCACTTCTCTCATCCCTCATATTTTTAATTCATGTCTTTTCCTTTTTCTCTGTTCAGTTTGATGAAAGGTTTATGCATTTTTATCGGTCTCAGCGAATCAATTTTAAAAAAATACTGATTTTTCATGTTGTTTTTCTTTTTTCAATTTCATTATTTCTGATGTTATTCTTTTCTTCCTTCTGCTTACTTACACTGTAATTTGCTCTTCTATTTTTAGTGTATTAAGTGGAGGCTTAGGTCCTGATCTGGAACACTCGTCTGTCCTAATGTAGGAACTCAGCACCCCCCCCCCCCGCAGGGCCGTGTTAGTAACCCCCACAGATCTGGGTGTGCTGGCTTTCTGCTTCCCTTCATGTGGTATTCGATATTTTCTAGTTCCCCTTTTGATTTCTTCTTGGACATATGGGTTGTTTAGAAGTGTGTTATTCACTCACCAAATATTTGGGGATTCTCCAGACAACTCTCTGTTACTGACTTCTAATTTAATCCCACTGTGACCAGAAAACACACTTTGCATGCACGGAACCCTTTTAAATTCATTTGGCCTTGTTGTATGGCCCGGAATATTGTCTATCGTGGTGACTGTTCCCTGTGCACTTTCAGAGGGCGTGTACTCTTATTGGCTGGAGTGTTCTATAAATGTCAGTTAGGTTAAATTGTTGGACAGTGCCCTTCGAGTGACAATTGTAATTTGAATTAATGTGAAAACCTGCAAAAAAGTAAAGTCTAACTTCTACACAATACTGAAAAACAAAAACATCCAAAGTTCCTGAGATATTAGACTTAATGCATTTAAGTTAACAAAACTGGAGGAAGCTTATAAGAAAAACAATAATAAGTATCATGCGAAGAGATTACTACTCTGCGCATCCAAATCAGACAGTGACAGGATGTCAGAGCTGAGCAAGGCCTCAGAGACTAGACCAGACTCCTTATCTCAGCGACTCTGACCAGAGCAAGACGCGGACTCCCAGCGCTGCCTGGCGGCTCACCTGCACGGCGGCTCACCTGCTCGGCCGTGCAGAAGATGTGCGCGTCGTCCTGCTGGAAGCGCCTGACTCGGGTCAGGCCGCTTAGCGTCCCCGACAGCTCGTTCCTGTGGAGAACTCCAAAATCGGCAAATCTGACAGGCATTTCCCTCCAGGACCGTGGACGATGGGCAAACATTAGACTGGAGAAGAGGCAGTAAACACGTAGTTTTCACTCAGCACGGGAAGGATTAAATAACTAAATACCAACAAATTACAGTTACACCTCAAGATCTGTAAACGCTTTACCCTGCTTCTTAGATCACACGTTTTAAGAACATTTCTTCTCCTGTGGATTACTGAACCTTGAACTTGCGTCACTATAGCGCCCTAAGAACCAGAAACCCCTATTCCCATTCACCCGGTGAATTTCCACTCGCCCTTTGCAATTCATTTCGAAGGCTACTTCGTGGGTGGAGCCTTCCCCAGACAGGGCTGGCTAGGCTTCCCTTGGGCTCCAGGGTGACCTGGAACAGGTCACTATTTTGACACCCGTCTTACTTTTTAAAAACTGGCTCTCTGTACCTCTGTCCCTGCCCCGCTCTGCTCCCTGAGGAAGTGGGCTGCCTTAATCCCCTCCGTGTTTCTAGCACTAAGCACTGTGGCTGATGCTCTCCGTCAAGTTCATGGCTTCCCTTCTGCAGAAAGCACTCCGGTGGCTCCTGTGCCCGCTCCCCACTAAGCCACTGATGTCTGACTTTTTTATTCGGAGGCGTGAAACACAAAGTTACGTTCTCTTCTTCTACTTGGCCTTCCTCAGAATTAGAGCTGAAACCACAGGCTATGGCTTCAAATGGCACCTCACGGGAACCTGAGTTAAGAAGTTGTTAATGCAAGTGTTTTAGAGAATGCAAAGCACTAGGTAGACTTCCCCATTCTGTTTAAAAAGAGAGGTTATAGACCATTTATCTGCCAGTTTTCAAGCAACTAAAGGTACGTAAATACTGTTTACATGCTGCCAGCATAAAGCTGAACTTCTTCCAGCATCTACTGAAAAGGACAAAGTTTTCTTCAGTGTTCAGAGGTTTGTTTCAATACATACCTTCTACAGTCAACTTACGTGAAACCATGTATGTCGATGACGCAAAACTATAATAACTGAGGTTTGTTTTTGGCGTGGAGAATCGTGTCTACTCACTCCCAGTTGTACAACTGGCTTGTCTTATAAACTTAATTTGCATACCAACTTTATGATAATTACATTCTTGCAGAGAGTCTAAGACAACACTGAGTGAAAGATGTGCCACTATTTTATGTACCACGAAGAATAAAAATAACCCATTCATTAAATTAAGACATAGTGCTAAGATGCCCCAATTGTAGGTGCATCTCAATGTCAAAAGATGTCGAAATGTGGGAGGAAAAGTTACCTCGGAATCAATGAAACCCATTTGCCCATTCATTCCAACCTCACTGGTCTTATTATAATCAATCCAAACAACATGTAAGAATAAAATGTTTAGCCCTGGCTGGTGTAGCTCAGTGGATTGAGGGCAGGCTGCGAACCAAAGCATCGAAGGTTCGATTCCCAGTCAGGGCACATGCCTGGGTTGCAGGCCACGGCCCCCAGCAACTGCACACTGATGTCTCTCTCTCTCTCTTTCTTCCTCCCTTCCCTCTCTAAAAATAAATAGATAAAATATTTTTAAAAAGAATAAATGTTTGGCAAATGTGTGTTATTTGAAATGTATTATGACTATGAAGAGAAATACTGTAATAATTTATAAAAATTCATAAATAGCCCTGGCTGGTGTGGTTCAGTGGATTGAGCACTGGACTGAGATCCAAAGGGTCACTGGTTCGATTCCCAGTCAGGGCACGCGCCTGAGTTGAGGGTTAAGTCCCCAGTAGGGGGCATGCAGGGGGCAACTACACATTGATGTTTCTCTCCCTCTCTTTCTCCCTCCCTTCCCCTCTCTCTAAAAATAAATAAATAAATAAACTTAGAGCAAAAAAAAAGATTGGTACATAATACTATCTCTAAGAAGCACAAAAAATTAAATGGTTTCCAGCTAACACTGCACACCTGCCAAAGATCTATCATTTATTAAACAGTAAACTCACTCTCCAGAGTGAAATAACTTGGCAAAGATGACTAGTAACCAGCATCCTTCAAGTCAAAGGAATCGCTTAACTCCCCAAACCAAAACACAGAACAACACTGAAAGCTCGTTGTGAAGGAGTGGCCCCGCACTCCCGGGAAAGGTCTGCGTGACGTCCAGTGCTCACCAGTGCCCCGGACAGTTCATGGGCTTCAGGGCGAAGGTGTCCTTCTCCACGTCGAAGGCGAACATGTTCTCGCTGTAATGCTGCCAGTGGCCTGAGGCCTCCCAGAGCTTGCTGTTGTACACGGTGGGGGACAGCACCTCCGTGAAATGACGGCGGTGGTACTCCTCCTGCAAGGAAACGCACTTGAAGCTCACCACACCGGCAAGGGCAGACCACGGCACCGGGAGAAGTCAGGCCATGGGCCGGTGTCTGACACTCAGGGCAGTCCGTATCCATTGACAATGAACATGCCCTCAGCTTCAGGTGTGGTCCTTCCAGCAACGTGAAAGAAGAATAACGCATGCTCAGTAGAATTTTCACGTTACATATATTTACTTTATACTGTGCAATAGTATGTAGTATGGAATGCTTGAATTCTCTGGAAATCAGGAATTGAGATATTTATAAAAGCCTAAGTCCAAAGGGCCAAAGAGAAAGCAGAGAAGAGGAAGGTGACATACTCTGGGACCCGGAGTGCATAACCGCCACCTCGACCGGCAAACCTGGGCAAGCAGCTGGAGCTGCAGGGGTGGGGCGGGACACAGGCCCACTTTGGGCTGACAGTTTCTGGGGCCCGAATTTTTCAGGCATTGGTCCTGTCTTCTGTTTTTTAGTGTTTTCACTGGAAATTTCATTACCGTTCTGCTACCCGGTGCTATGTCTTTGGCTTTTTCTCTCTGGAAACTTTTAGAATATTTTTTTTATCTCTAAAGCTTTAGAATTTCTCTCTCAGTAATGGGCCTTGGTGCCCAAGGAAAGAACGCTTTCACAAACAAACAAAAACAACAAAAAACAGACACACCTCCATTGGAAGCTGGGTCCATTTGGGGATGCGGACCCCTAGGCTACCAAGCCAACAGGCAGAGAAGGACTGACTCCCTGGCTGGGAGGACTGACCCCAGTTGCAGGGGAAGGCAGTGCACAGCTACAATGGAGTGAGGAGACTCCGGCGGGAATGCAGAGGGGAGCCTCGAGCGTTTCCATGAACCCTCGCAACCCCCACCAGGCAGGATCGCTGAGAACTCGGGTCCTTTGGGAAGAAGATGTGGGCCACCCACTACTAGGGGTGGAACTGTATCCCCCACAAAAGATAGGTTGGAGTCCTAGCCCGCGGGACCTCAGAGTGGGGCCTTCCTTGGACACAGAGGCTTTGACGAGGTGACCGAGTTAAGAGGAGGTCGTTAGATGAGTCTCGCTCCAATGGGAGCGGTGCCCCTACAGAAAGAGGAAATTTGAGGAGAGACAGACAGACAGACAGACGACGCACGTGGAGGAGAGGTGACGTGAAGACACACGGGAGAAGGCCACGTGAAGGCGGAGACTGGAGCGAGGCCCTGACAAGCCAGGGCGCACCAACCGTGGCTGACCCACCACCCCCCTCCAGAGAAGCGCAAAGAGGGGCTGATTCCCTCCCGGGTTCCAGACGGGGCGTGGCTCTGCCGGCTGCTTCCCTCCCCACGTCTGGCCCCTAGGACTGCAAGACGATACCTCCAAGGGGCTCAGGGCCACTCAGTTTATGGCACTTCCTTAGGCGCCCCGGGAAACCAGGAGACGCACCAAGGACAGCCCTGCCCGTCCGAGGTGCCGGCAGGGAAGGGGGCACGTGGAGGGGTGGAGGGCTGGTGGGAGGCGGCGGCGCTGACTTGCCCACTGGTGCCCATTTCCACGGGCTGGGGCCGGACCCGCTGCATTAAACATTCTTCCCTGCCTGCTTGGACGCAGGGCACGGTGGTGGCTAATGTCACAGCTTAGGTTCCCAATGGCATCGAGCCGACCCCACCCCACATGGTGACACGCTGGCTGACGGGACTTGGGGTGAACAAACAAATGTCCTCCTCCGAGCAAAGGACCAAAGCTGACTTTGAGTCACCAAGGGGGGGGGGGCACTGTGCTGGTTCCTCTCATGGGCCACCTCCTGTCCTGCCCTGTCCTGACCCACTTTCCTGTCCTCTGAGCCCTGCTCTGTGTCCCCACAAGGGGACTTCTGTGGAGGATACTGCCCGGCTTTCCTGCCTTCTGACTTCCAGTTGAGTTTGACCAAGGAGAGGTTCTGAAGGCAGCCAGAAGGCAGCAGAAGACAGAAGTCGGGATATTTATTTCCCTCCCCCACTCCTCCCTCGCTCTGGGTTTATTGTGTCCTGGGCTGTGAGCTCCTAACAGTTTCTGTCCAGCAGCCTCTCCCAAGGCTTCGAGCTCTCTCTGGGTTCGGGTAACATGATTGTTTCTCACCTCCTCTGGCGGAGGGGGAGGGAGACCTGCGTGGGTAATCCCTGGGTTCAGGACCGGCCCCTGTGAGTTATCTAACCAAGGCCCACGCCTCTGTAAATACTTCCTTCACCAGATGCTCTTCAGTTAAACCCTTGGCTCACCTGTCAGGACCATCCCCGCACAGAAGGTCAAGGGTTTGAGATACTAAATGTCTGCGAAGACAAGTTCAGTTTGGAAATGCACGGAATCCAAAGGTGTGGGAGCGGGAGGCGAAAACTCTCCAAGTGGGTTATGAGCGGAGGAGCGAGGGGGCTACCATCCTCCCCACCCCATATCCCAGCCGGCGCCAGCGCATCGGGTAGGTCAGACCCCAGCAGGGGAAACGGTGAGGCTGGGGACTTTCACCGAAGGAACCCGTCCCCCCTGCCGGCGGGAACAGGAAAGGACAGTCCCTTCAGAAGACGGCTGGCATCTCCCTGGAAACTCAAGCTCGCCCTGTGACACTGAGGTCACGCTCCTCGGTACTTGCCCAAGTAGAATGAAAGCTGACGTTCACACAGACACCCTGCGCTGAGAACACCGAGAAAGCTGCTCAGCTGTACACCCGGGCCACTTCCTCTAAGACGACAAGGGGATTCAAAGGGTGGAACCAGGGCCCAGGGAGAACAGAACTGAGTCCTAACCGTCCTGCAGTTCCTGACCTGAGAGCGACTCTAGTTATTTCTGTATACAACACCTAGCATATTAATAACAAAAGACTACGTATGGGAAGAGGCAAGACCATATAACAGAAAACCAAGGAAAGAAATAGTTTGAGTCCCTATAACATTGTGTCTGTGTGTGTGTGTGTTTTGCACAGAAAGGACAATTTTTTCAGACAAGGGTATCTGGGGGTTCAAAGTCACCCGCCTCATCTCTGTCTGCCAAACATTCCCGTTCCAAGACTCGGGGCCCCATCCTGCCTACCTGCGCCCTTACCTTAGCGTAAGAGACCTTGGGGGCTGCGTACTTAAATGGCCGCACACCTCTGCAACTCATACGATCAGACCTTGGGCCTGACCATCATCCAGGTCTGTCCTGCATCTATAAGAGAGAAGAGACTCCTTGAAGGCCACCAACGGAGGCTTCTGCTTACTCTCCGACACTCCGCCCCACACCTAGAGTTCAAGGTGCTGGGGGCTGTGTTGATTTTCCAGCAGAGACAGCGCATCATCACCACGTGCACATGTCTCCGATAATATGCAGTGATTCTTCAAGTCTCGCCGCTCTGCTCTCTGATCTATGATGGCTTCACCTGACCAATCCCTACAGAAGGTATGAGCCCAGGGGGGCAAGTCCACAGAGCGGAGCTTCCCGGGGCATCGTGCAAGAAAAGAAGGGGAGGAAAAAGAGACGGGTGACTCAGAGAGTAACCAGCACGTCGTGCCACGGGCCCTTTTTCCCAGGAGGTTCTTGGGGAAAGCGCTTCCCCAGATGAGAGAGAGAAGCAAGGAGGGATCGGGAAAGAAGAGAATCAGCACAGAAAAGAGATGGGGGGAGAAACCAGGATGATGATGGAAAACAAGTCTTAAGAGATAATTCTGCAGCGAGAAGATCAAATTTGGGAAAAAAAAATTTACTGAGAGATTACCCAAATCACCAGAAGATGCTGCAAGGAGTGTCAGGAGTCCTGACAGGAAGGTGAGGACGAATTAGAGACAGGCACTTAGAAAACGGGGCCAATGAAAGTGTTAGGTGATCACGGATTGCAAGACAGACAAGAGGAGCACGAGAGAGAAAATGTAGCCTCAACGGTGTGGCTCAGGGGGTTGGGCGTCCCCTCACAAACCAGGAGGTCTCAGGTTCGATTCCTGGTCAGGGTGCAGGCCTGGGTTCAGGTTTGGTCCCTGGTCAGGGGGCGTGTGACAGGTAGTCGATCAATGTTACTCTCTCAGAGTGACGTTTCTTCCTCCCCCTCTCTCTCCCTCCCTTCCCCTCTCTCTAAAAATAAATAAATAAAATCCTTTTTAAAAAGGAAAGGAAATGTAACCCCAGTGGTCCACATGGAGCACATCTGAACAGTACTTACAGCACACAGTCCCATCGGAGACTTAGTGATCTATGAACTTGGCCTGCGGGCCAGTATTTTTCAGAGCGGTCTTCCCGCTCTTTGCCCTGGAGCTGCCAAACCACCACAGACGGTGGCGGAGCAGCCGCGCCCCGAGGACCGCATTCTGGGAAGCGATGCTTCACCGGTCAGCACACTGAGCCTGACAGGATCCCCTCCTTTCCCCGCTGTCACTAGGATCTCCACGCTGCGTCTGCCTCGTGCTCACCTCTGTACTGTGCACGTTCCAGACACTTACACGCACACCAGCGGCATTAATACAATCCAAGAATGCATTTAATTTGGGGAAAATATAATTCAGCTCAATGTTTTTATTAAAAGGCACAATCCGGTATTTCTCTGCTAGGCTCAAAATTCTTAATGTTACTAAAATAAAGTGAATGGAAACACTTGACCCTTTTACTATGAAGGAAAACAGTGAAATGCAAAATGCACTCGAATAAGAATAAAACCCTCCAACAATTCACTTACGCGTATGAAGTCCATGAGGGTGTTATAAATGAAGGCTCCTCTGGGCAGGAAGAAACAGCTTCCGGGACTCAGATCGTGGAAAAAGAAAAGCTCCTGATCCTAGAGTAAAACAGGAACTGGATTTCAAATTTCACTGTCGGTGTTTAATATCTACTGTGCACTTGATACGCTACAAGTAAAATACACACTCAGCCATCACTTCCATTTTCTAATCACTGACGTTCCCAAGTCCTCAATACTTCTATCTAACTATATGTAATAGCACACAGAAAATTGCAATCCGTATTTATGGCCACTAAGCTTTGCACTTAGCTTCTATTTCCCCTCATATTCACCGCTACTTTCCTCCTTGGGATCCTGGAGGGTGGGTGTCAGGGGAGAAAACACTGCAAAGAGATGAGAAACGTCTGTGGCCGGAGCCTCTCAGTGGCGGTGACCATTACCACGACCCCCACATACTGACGGCCCAGCCCACAGGGCCACCATCTCCAGGGTCTTCCTCTCATCCGTCGGGCAGGCTACTCAGCAAGACATGGGCACGTGGAATTCTGCAAGGGAGTGCCCGCCCATGACAGGACACAGCTCAGCAGTGGCAGGACTGAGGTTAAAACGCAGGTCTTCCAGCTTTTGAATCTCATTCTTTCCTTCTGCACTTCCCAAATACACAGCATGTTCTCAAAGTATGCACAAGTTTCAAAAAACAATGTTAATTGCCCTGGCTGGTGTGGCTCACTGGATTGAGCACCGGCCTGCAAACCAAAGGGTCGCCAGTTTGATTCCCAGTCAGGGCACATGCCTGGGGTGTGGGTCAGGTCCCCAGCAGGGGGCGCATGAGAGGCAGCCACACATTGATGTTTCTCTCCCTCTTTTTCTCCCTCTCTTCCCCTCTCTAAAAATAAATAAATAAAACCCTTAAATTGTTATTTTTTAATATCATGATACAAATGAGACAAGGGGGTAATGTTTTCAGTCTGATAAAAGATACAGGAAGGAAAGAGGTTAGAAGGCACTGGGGTGTTAGCAGGAAAGAACTCAACCGCAAACTATGAGTGCCAGCAAAATAGAACATGGGAGACAAAATACTATTTTTCAAGCAAGTTAGTTTGGAGACATCATCGTAAGCCAACCAAGGCAGGGGCACCCCGGCAGGGACGGGGACGCCCGGCCTACCTTCCCGATCTTCCGGTGATCTCGGCTCTTGGCTTCCTCCTGCAGCTTTTCCCAGGCTCTCATCCTCTCGTTATCGGGAAAGGAAATCCCGTAGACCCGCTGCAGGGTTTCCATTTCGGGATTGCCCTCCCAGTACGTGCAGGAATTCTAAACACCAAGCCACGTCTCACTGAGCATGTCTGACATTCTGTCATCAATCAAATCAGTCTTAACTATGTTCCCATTTTCCAGTAAAGGATCTTGAATGGGTTCTAACGACTCCTGCCCAGTCCAAATCCAGCGGTCAGTTACGGAAAGAGTGTGCCATGGGTTCTCGGAAGGGAAAGTGAAGAGATGGTGGAAAGACGGGAACGCCACGCAGCAGCTGTGATGGCCACGGGGGTAGCAGCAGAGGAAGAGCAGACAGGCAGGGAAGCTCGGCCGGGCAGGGCCGCGGCTCCTGGTGAACGACTGAGCTGCTAATAGCACTTGTGTACGTGGGAGGAAGTCAAGGTCAGGTCTACAAGTCAGCCTCGTGCCTCTCGATACCCAGGGCAATGCTTTCTCCATTCTACCACCCTGTCCCCTTTGGCTTTGGCTTTTTTCCTACAGGGCATGTTCTACATGCACATAAATGTTCTTGCTCACATCAGAGTGATTCAAGAAAACCACAATATCACTAAATAGCAAATGAAAGAGAAATGCAAATGATAATCAAAAGCTCTATGTGCCCTGGCTGGTGTGGCTCAGTGAACTGAATGCTGGCCTGTGAACCAAGGGTTGCTGGTTCGATTCCCAGTCAGGGCACACACCTGGGTTGTGGGCCAGGTCCCCAGCAGGGGGTGCACAAGGGGCAACCACACAATGATGTTTCTCTTCCTCTCTTTCTCCCTTTTTCTCTCTCTGGAAATAAACTGGATAAAATCTTTTTTAAAATGTTGCACGTAATATCCTAATTATCAAATTTGTTTAAAAAATATTAAGAGCCCATGTAAAAATCAAATAATAAAGTGTTTTTTAAAATAACATGATGTTCACATTATAAAAGATATGACTGAAATCCCTAATTATTTAGTCCATCTTAAGTTTGCTATATTAAAAATAGTAAGTCCTTACCTTGAAAATTTTTATGGTTTTAATTTTCCCAGTGTGTCTCACGTGGGGGCCTTTACACAGGTCAATTAGGGAGCCACACCTATAATGAAAGGCACGCCCACACACTGTTATGGTTTTTCAGATTGCCCATTATGAACCACATCCTCGTATGTTTTAGTGAAGGATTTTCCCTGATTTTATATTGTGGGGGCAATTTTTCACTTAGGGGCAGCTTAAATTAAGTTTTAATTTACAGGAGAGAGACAATTCATCAAGCCTCAGATTTCAGTCTTCCCCTCTTTGCCCAAATTCAAAAGCTACAGACTCTTCTGGAAAAAGAAAACCATACAGAGACACCACTTGGAACTGTGATATCCTAAGGCTCTTAAAAGCCGCCCATTGTTGCATAATCAAAAATTCCAAAACCAAAGTCATCTGAAATGCATACGAAGTGCATCAACTCGACACCTCACCTTAAGATCACACCTCACCAAACCCACAATATGTACAAGGTGAGAGTGAACCCCAGCTCAATCCCCGGACTCTGCTCCCAGCAGCGGCCACAGGCCAGAGCTCACAGAAGTGGGGAGGCAAACCCCTAAGAGAGCTGAGAAAGCAGATGAGTGGAAAGGGGCTCAGGAGCCCGATGTTTACCAGAGCCCAGCCACGTGGTACACAGCTTTCACTTGCCTCTTTGTATCATTATTTCGCCTTTGCTTCCCATCACTTCCTGTTCGTTTCACTGTGAACATCCCACTTAGGCAGGAAGGTTGATGCTTTTGGCACCCACCAGGTGGTGGGGAGTAAGTATAGCAAGCGGCAGAGAGCCCCTGTGTGGGGAGGTGGCCCCTACCAACTCCCACTGCCACCTCAGTAAGAATGTCAGGGGCTGAAACAGGAAGTCTTTCCCTAACAGCCCCCCAAAATGTAAGGCACTGGCTGACACTGTCTCACCCACAGAGAACAAGATGCTGTGTAACAGCTCACACTCAGAAAGCAAAATTTGGGTTTCAGTATCATTCTGATGAATACAAATAAGAAAATAATAACTTCTCTTTGGTGATAACATTTCAGAGCCCCTAACTAAAGCAGTATGTCAATATGCAAATTTAGAGATAAACAGCCACCCAAAGATAAACTGCTTGTCCCGCTAACACCTTCAAGTTATCAGTTTTAAAATTTACGCACTGAGCCCTGGCTGGTGTAGCTCAGTGTATTGAGCCCTGGCCTGCGAACCAAAGGGTCACCAGTTCAATTCCCAGTCAGGGCACATGCCTGGGTTGTAGGCCAGGTTCCCAGTAGGGGGCACATGAGAGGCAACCACACATTGCTGTTTCTCTCCCTCTCTTTCTCCCTCCCTTTCCCTCTCTCTAAAAATAAATAAATAAAATCTTTTTAAAAATTTTACACACTGAGCAGTTTTGAAATTTACACACACTTTACCTGTAAATGGTGGTAGTTGGAGTATTAACCTTCTCATTCAAAATGCGGCATTTAAACTTGTTGTACTGCAAAGGAAAATAGATTTACATATTATTACATAAAATGTTTAAGTGGAAAAAAAATAGTCTACTTTCTCTAACAAACACTGAATGGGTGTGCACTGTGCCCTGGGTGCCGGGCCCCGGGGATACCGAGAGCTCGTAGCCTAGAACTGTGTTGTTACTTTTTTATGTTGGTTACATGGTGAAGTGATATTCTGATAATACTGAGTTAAATAAAATGTTATAAAAATCAACTTCACCTTTCTTTTACTTTTAAAACGGGCTACCAGAAAATTTAAGATCACGTATGTGGCTCCTATTTGTGGATCACATTGTATTTCTATTTGGACAGCAGTGTTCTAGAAGATTCCCATTTTAACTACATGAAATGCATATAATGCTGTGGAAACAGCTACATTATTAATTTGTGTAAAAACAGAGTTCATATCAAATGATCCTATCATCCCATTCAAACACGCAACAGAGACTTTTCCTCTCTTTGTTGCTTTCGTCACTACTACCACGGTGCTGCCGCCTTATATTAAATAACTACTCAGAGAAGGTAGTTGTTGGAAAGAAAAAAAATAGATTTGAAGGACTCAACTGTTTCATACTGATATGTTCAAATCCAAACACTTTTCTTTGCAAAGGTTTGACTGAGTCCAGCTGTCAGCCCAGAGAATGGGAGAAAAATGCAAATCATGTTTCTAATATAGAATTAATATCCAAAATATATAAAGAACTGCAACTCCACAACAAAAAAACCACGACCCATTTCAAAATGGGAAAAGGGCTTGAACAGACACTTCCCCACACAAGATATGTAAGTGGTCAGTAAGGACAAGAGAGGATGTTTACCATCACTAGGTATTACAGAGATGCCGAGCAAAACCACAATGAGATACTACGTATATCACACCCATTAGCACGGCTATTAGCAAAAAACAAACAAAGAAACAGAAAGTAAGCGTTGGCAAGTATGTGGAGAAACCGAACACCCGTGCACTGCCGGTGGGAATGCAGAATGGCGCAGGCGCTGTGGCAAGCAGTATGGCGTTTGCCCAAAACAGAAAACAGAATCTGTATATAATTCAGCAATTCCATAACTGGGCATATACCCAGAAGAACTGAAAGCAGGGACTTGAACAGGTACTTGTACACCACGTTCATAGTGCCGTTTTTAACAGCATGAAAAAGGCGGGAGCAACCCAGGGGTCCACTAACGAATGAATCAAGGAAATGTGGTCTTACACATCGATGGAATTTTATTCAGCCTCGAAAAAGAGAAAAATTCTGACATGTGCTACAAGGTGGGTGAACCGGGAGGACCTGGAGCTGAGTAAAACAGCCAGCCACAAAAATAACAAATATTATATTACTCCACTTATGCGAGCTTCTCAGAGTAGTAAAATTCATAAGACAGAAAGAGAGGGCGAGGGAATGGAAAGTTAGTGTTTGGTGGGTTTAGGGTCCCAGCTGGGGAAGATAAAATAGCTCTGGAGGTGGATGGTGGAGACAGTGGGACAATGTGAACGTACTTAATGCCACAGAATGGCACACTTAAAAATGGTTAAAATGGTAAATCGTACATTTTGGATATTTTACCACACACACACACACACAAAAGAGTAGCTATCACTTTTACCAAACCCCAAATCTATTTATTTGTTTATTTATCTTTAAAAGATTTTATTTATTTATTTTTAGAGAGAGGAGAAGGAAGGGAGAAAGAGAGGGAGAGAAACATCAATGTGTGGTTGCCTTGCCTCTCGAGTGCACTCTACTGGGGACCTGGCCCACAACCCAGGCATGTGCCCTGACTGGGAATTGAACTGGCGACCCTTTGGTTCACAGGCTGGCACTCAACACACTGAGCCACACCAGCCAGGGCCCAAATCTATTATTTTAATTCAAGCCCACAAAACTAACAATATTGTGCTTTCAAATTATGTGACTTCTCTGATATGTATGATTTAAAAGATAAAATTAAGAATACAGTTAAACAAAAAAGAGAAAAGAATATATTTAAGTACATTGGTCAAAACAATATATAAAAAAAGTTGAAGTTTTACACAGGTTACCCTAGACTAAAATCTAAAAAATAAAAAGAAAAATTAAAAAGAAAACCCTCAAGGGAAAAAAAGTGAAAAATATATATGGTATTTTAAATATCATTGAATTCAGGAGTCTAAATATTAACAATGCTCAGAATTAACCAGATTTATGAACACACATATGAAGACTATTCATCTGGCCCTTTACCTCCCTACATATGCATTAAAAGTTTCAAGAAATAGTACAAAATGGACTTCAAGTGACTGGTGACAACCAACTGTTTGGAACAATATGGTGACAACAGCCAATTATTTGCAAAACAAAAACCAAAAAAAAACTTGTCTATGTTGATTATTTAACATCCCCAGCCCCAGGTTGTCTGATTGCAAACAGCTCCGGGAAATCACCTTGAACATGTCCAGGAGGACGTCCTTGCTGACCTCCAGCCTCTCAAAGGGCTGCTCCTCCCTGACGATGGCCTCGCAGAGGGCCTCCAGTGCCGACAGCTCCGAGCTGGACACGGCTCTGAAAGGCAGAGCGGGCGAGAATCAGCACCAACCCTCAGACGCCGGGCGGGCTCTGCTGCGTGGGCCCCGGCCTGCAGCCTCTGCCACTCGTCTACACGCTTCCTCGATGGAGGGAGTCGGAGTTTGGGGCCCCGGGACTTCAGAGAGGCAAAAGCACTCGTCCGAAGGCAGACACTCCCACTGCTCAGAGAGGGCGAGAGGCATGCGTAGACAGAGCGATCCGCCCTCGGTGTCTGCGATGGGGCCTGCGCTACTTCTGCGCTGTCCTTGTCACCCTTCACACGGTCCTATCCGGCTCGAATGGAAAAGCATGGTCTTTGGTGCTCCCCACGTCCCCGCGCTCACTGACTGTGGGGTCTGGGGTGGGAGATAGCTCGGTGAGAGTGAGATGCGGGGGCAGGGTGCCCACGGGGCCAACGGCTCCTGCCAGGCCTCGGCTGACTGCCCTTCTCACTCGCCCCCGCCCCCCGCTGCACGCTCACCCCTGCCGGCCACACCGGCTTCCCTGCCGCTCCTCAAACAAGCTGCATGCGTTCCCAGGCCCGGGCTGTCTCACGGAGCCTCTTTCCCAGGAGGCCCATAAATGTCCCCCCAGTAGCCTCAGGAGCTCGCTCCCTCCCTCGTCCTGGCCTGCTTCAGTGTCACGTCCTGTTTCCCAGCCACCTGCCTGTCACGGCACACGGACCTGCCCACCCCTGCATGTGTTGTCCCTCACAGCGCGGGTCACCACCTGGTGGGAGGCGGCTGTCGGTTTACTGTGTGTCTCCCCCCACCAGGCTGTAGGCTCCTCCAGTACACACTGGTCTGCTCACTGCTCCGTCACCAGCACCCCAGCACGGAGCACACAGCAGGCAGTCAAGGTTTTGTGGGAGGAATGGGTCCTGGGGCGGGGGTGACAGGAGATGACGCTGCAGGAGCCCCTCCGCAGGAGCTACAGAGGACTAAAGACAGGCTCGCTTGGGGAGATGAGCTGAACAGCGTGGAGGTGAAAGGGAAAGGCGAAATGTGCCGTTAGTTGTCCAGGCAAGAGACGTTCTAGCTGTACACGAAGGGAGGAGAGAGGAGGAGAGAGGAGAGGCGGGTGGGGGATCTACTTAGGAGATCCAATGGGCAGAGCTGGACCGAGGCCTGGGTGCTGGGGTGGTGGAGGAGCAGGGGGACTGGAAGGACTCCCAGACTTCAGTTCTGGCAGCCGGTGGTGCCCTGCAGAGCTATGTCTGAGGAATCCGGGGAAGGTGGGGGTTGGCCCGACGCTGAGGCACTCCAGCACAGACCTCCGAAGGCGAGACCCCCGTGAACCACCCCCTGATCTTTACCCGTGGGAGGTGTCTGCCCCAGGTGGACAGCGCCCTCAGTTATCATGGAGAAAACCTGAACTATTTCCCCAGGGGTTGACCTTGAGATTCTGGTCTTCACTAGCACCCCCCTCTTACCAAGTCCCAGATTAGATAAAGAGCGTATCACTTCCTTCTAGGAAAAGAAAAAAACATTTGAGAAGCTACCCTTGCCCCTAAACTCATTAAAATTGTTTTTCAAAACTGATTAACCAAGCTATAATCATATTATGGAACATATACAGCCACCACACTAATAGGGAGCCATCACAAAACATGGAGCTAAAGACACGCGCGTTCAGGAGGGGACTGTTCAGGGGCGTTACCTGTCCTCGACAAACATGTCATAATAAAATCCATTCTCGATGGGCGGCCCATAACACAGGTGGCCCCCATAGTACAGCTCCATGGCCTCCCCGAGGACGTGGGCACTGGAGTGCCAGTACACCTGCGGACACAGGACACGGGCTGTCAGAGCGAGCACGTGGAAAGGGCTAGCGGACTGAGTTAGCGAGTGGATGCGTTTTTAGGGGGATAAACAATGGGACACAGGGCCGCGTCTGTTTGGAAGGAAACAGACCTTTGGTGCCCACGGAGAAGGGACTGTTTTTCGGAGCCCTCCCCGAGATGCCACCAGGACCATCCGCCTGCTTGTTTCTGGTGTGAAACTGCTGCTCTCGGCCCAGGCGGCCACTCGGAAACCTGGCTCCGCCCAGAGCGGAGAAAGGCAGGCGTGCGCTCCCCTCCCCCGGCCCAGGCGTGGCCTCCGAGCCGGATGCGGAGAGAACGGGCCGAAGTGGCCGCTCACGCAGGACACTGCTGCCGTTCACGGAATGTGGCATCCACGTGGCAGTGTTCGTGTGCTGGCCAGCGTGGGACTGAGGACCTCTGAAAAGGGCGTCGCCAGGGAGTGAACGCCCCCTGGCTGCAGAGACCCCAACCAGGTACACGTAGCTAATTCACTGTAGTCCGAGGGCGGGTCATCAGCTCGACAAGTTCACAAGGTTGATTTGGTTTTGAATTCCCAAGGAATCCATGGCTTATGGACAAACTAAAACTGACCAGTCACCAAATAAATAGAGATGCCAAAGGAACAAGATAATCAAGTCCTTTTCCTCAAGAGGAAACAAATCACGATGAGAAAGCTGTTTGATAAAATCAGTCAGAGCAGAGGGAGTGAGCTCGATGGGCAGGCCCTGTACCACCCCGGCCAGGGCAGTGGCCAGGACGTGATCTGCAGACACGCCCACACGGTCAGTCCTCAGGGCAGAGCCCTCTGCTTTGGTGGGTGTCGGGGTGACAGGCTGCCGCCCAGCATCAGTCACATCTCCTCTTCGATGCCCTGTCCAAGCTCAGATAGCCATTGTGTGAACAGTGTGTTAGTGATACGAGACCGGAAGACACAAGTCACAACCGCAGACAGTAGACAGGAGTCCCTGGGAGAGGGACCGGGCACCGCAGTGACAGACAGCAGTGACGGCCCCCCACCGACAGGCCCCGGGAAGGCCTGTGGGGGTACCACACAGGGGCGGGGACAGAGTGACTGGAGAAAGGCTGGAGAGGGCAGAAAGGGCCACTGACTGGGGCAGGGCCCTTGGGGGAGGATTTGGACTTTATTCTGAATGCAATAGAGCACAGTACAGGGTTTTAAGCAGAAAGGAAATGACTCAATTTACGTTTTAAAACGTCCTTTGGTAGCAGGACCAGAACGGACTTCCGGAAGGAGGCATGGGGTGGGGGTACAACCCCCTGGGCAGCGCTACAGCAGCACCACTGTGGGTCCCTGGGCAGTGTGGCAGTGCGCCTGGACAGAGGTGGACAGGGCCAGGCGGCACTGTGACAGTAACGTGGCCCAAGCAACCCGAGACTGGAGCTGAGGGGCGGGCAGCGGTCACACACAGCCTCCAGGATTCCAGGCTGAGCACCTGGGTCTTAAGTTTGGGGTTAAAAGTTGATTTTAACCCACTGAACTGACACTTCCTGTACAACGTCTAGGTGGAGACACCCTGTGGGCAGCAGCATAGTCTCGACAGAGGGCTGTGTCGTTACAGAGAGCAGAGATGAAGTCTCATCTCTGGTGGGGATGTGACAGCGGAGGACAGGAGGAGAAGGCCAGAAGGGGGCTGGTGCCGAGCACTGGGGACTTCCTAACATTTGGAGGCGGATGAAGAAGCCGCAGCCAGCAAAAAGACAGAAGGAGCCAGAGGTTTGCCACAGACAGTACTAAAAGAAGGGAGTCGTAACTGTCAGCTCGGCTGAGAAAGTACGCAGGATGGGAGGGGAGATGGGGGCGTCCTGGAAAACAGAGGGGGCACCGGGGCTCGGGCCACCACCCACGGGGAGAGGCCCCGGACCACGACTGCACCCACATTGCAGAACGGGCAGCTCCGGCTCTTCCGTAAGTTTGTGTTTGTCGTTCATACTTCCCAGTACGTATCTTCTGAGTCCTTTAGCACACAGAGCTGCGTGCCCCTGACGGCTCCTGGGATTTCACCAAAGCTTTAAAGTAGAGCGTGTGTGTGCCTGCGTATAGTCTGTTACTGAGCAGTACAAGAGGGAGGACCTATTCTGCTTTAAACTTGAAAGCTGTGTCACTACATAAAACACCCCTTGTTTCTCGTGTGCGTCTTTATCAACTTTACGGGAATATTTCTTTACTGCAATTTTGCACGTGAATTTATCTAGAGGGCCGAAGTACTTCTTTCATATGGTGCATTACGCACTAAATATTCTTATAAATAGGGTCATCTTTTAAAATGAAAGTCTACGTGTCTGCTGTATAAGAGACACGAATTTTTCAGTAGAGCAGAAGATGCTTTTACAAAATCATTCAATTATCATTTTGGAGATCTGAGCTTTCTAGAATTGTTTTCCTATAGGGTTTCTCTCTCACGGACATGCGCTCAACATTCATAACTTGGTTGATGTTCAAAATCTCGTGAATAGGCCCATCGTAACAGGGAAACAGAATCCAGGAGCAACAACAAAATCTCTGTTGCCAAATCACGCTAACAGAAGCATCAGGGTCTTGGAAAAGCAACTTAGCCATTCTGAGGCCCAGTGGCTTTCACTGTAGAAGGCATATTTTTTCAATCTTTGCCAGGGTACCTGGGACTTAAGGAGACAATGCCCGTCAGGGGCTGGGTTTCTTGTCCCTTTCACCGACGGCCACACGCATTTATGGAAGCCCCACAATGGGAAGCCAGGCAGCCCGCCGTGACTCTGGGGGGCGTGCTGGTGCGTTCCTCTGGAGAGTCTCCACGAGAAGCAACGTTGTCTTTCTCGTGATATCACTGAACGCAAAGAGGAAAAGAACTCCAAAGACGCCAACGCCTCCATGGCACGTGAAATTCGGCAGGTTTCCCCATCCCCTGCCGTCAAACACCTGACAGATTCAAAGAGTTCAGGAGCCACCGTTGAAGGGGAGCGAGGGAAGGAGGGCGTGGAGCGGGCTGGCACCGCCGAGGGCAGGGCTGGCTGACGCCCTCGGGAGACGGTCACAGAGTCTGTCCCGCCTGCTCTCTGTTCCAGCTCCTGCTGGACTTTCTCTGAAGACCGACGCTCTCTGAAAGCACCGGCTGTTAGTTCTCTTGTTTACTGCCTCCTCCCCCAGGTGGAATCACCCCGAGGTGGGGCCCCACAGAGTCCGATGCACGCGCCCAGCGCCTCGGACACTGGTCAGCTGACTGAGGGAATAGGTGGCATTTGACAACACCTGGGATGCAGTTAGGTGACAGCTGCTAAGGACCACTGAGAAAAATGAAATAATACGGATAAAGCTACTTACTCCCCTTAAAAACTGCTTTCTGAATCCCTTTTGAAAATGGCTTCGTTAATAATGTATTAATGGTTATGCTCTGCATGTTTTAAAGAGAAAGTAATTATAACAGCATTCTTGCACTTTGGATTAATAAATCAAGAAATTTAGCATGAGCATCACAAGTTCATTTAACTTCAGCTGATCATAGGTTGGGTTTAGGCAGGTGGTGGACCGGAGAATCCCACATTAAGCTGGCCATGTTTACCAGAGATCCACATGAGCATGTGGAGTCCGTTTTAGACCACCACAAGTAATTAAACGATATCTGAGTCTTGATCATTTTTAAAAGTCTCCTACACGTACTAAATTATAAAGTAGATCCATTTTTAAGAGTCCTTTTAAAATCCATTTCAAATACACATTGCTTTAATAATTACAGCATTCTAACTTAAGGAAAAAATTATTCTGAGACATGATAAATACAAGCTACTTGGAAAACCTGGTATGTATGTATTTGTGCATGATCATTCCATAAACACTTATGAAATACTATGGAACAGCAATATACGCATTTTAAACCTTACGGAGCCACAAAAGGCATCATTCTTGTTGTGACAGGGACCCGATACATATTATTCACAACAAAAGCAGCCCGAGCCTGGTGGCTAGGTGTCCCATACTTACAGCTTGAGCTTCCTCATCATCAAACGTCAGCAGCTCCAGAGTGCAGTCCCCTTCCAGCGGACGGTCCAAGTCCCACAGTTCGCCATTGACCTTGGCTATCACTGCGCTTTCAGCCAGCTCTTGACTAGTGAGAGAAAAGCCACTCGGCAGTTAACCTTATCCCGGGCTAGAATGATTCGCTAAAACAAAGGATTGAAATAACTTCTAGGGGCTTGTTTCTTTTTTTTTTCCAAGAGGATAAAAAGTACCAGTGCAAACTACTGGGACAGATCGGTTTTTTATTCTGTAACATTTCTTTTAAGTACAAGAGGGATATATGTTCACTGTAGTGAACTTGGAAAACAGAGTGAAACGAAGATCACATACACATCTTCGCACCCAGAGGTAAGTACTCATAACATTCTGGTACATCCCACCCCTCCTTTACACACACACACACACACACACACACACTTTTTAAAAAGCATGGTTGCCATGGAAATTTTAGAGCCCGCTTTATTCCAGCCCTGCCAGCAGACAGACTTCCAGCTGAGCCCAGAAGCGGCACCGTTGTTAAGAAAGCTTCCACTCCTGCACAGACGCCTCTGCACAGGCGGCTCGGTGGCCTCTGGGACAAGCCCGCGGACGTGGAATCGCTACGTCAAAGGACGCGAGCCTCTGAAAGGTTTCTGAACCGACTATCTGAGTGCACCACTTCCACGTGTCTCAGAAGGTTTTTTAAATCGTGGTCGATATCATGTTGGAAATCAAATTACTTTAGTTTGATTTATTTGATTAACTCAAGGAAATGTTTACTGGCCAGTTTTACTTTTATGAGCTGCCCATGTCCTTTGCCTGTTTCCTATCTAGGTGTTATGTTAATCTTTTTTGTGCGTTATCGTTTAAATAAAATTTACTGTTTAAAAATGGACAAAAATAACACGTTAAGAAGCCTGGAAAGCACAGAAAAGAACAGCGTCCTCAATCCCTCCACCCAGAAATGACTGCATGTCCACTAGCTGTACGTCCTTCCACAATTTTGGACCAATTACGTACACCAATACAAACTCACTTTCAGCAGTATCGTTCTATGCATTATTTGGGAACCTACTTCTACAGGGGACTGTTCCAAGTGGCGTGGGAAAAGTAGCCCAGCCCCCACTCGGAAAGGCCAGTGGGGAGCGAGCTTGGCACAGAGGACCCACACCCACGGATAGGTTCTGTCGTAGGGAACCAGGCCTGCATTGTACCTGGGCTGCTTTGAGACTTGCTTTTGCTAAAACTCCCTCACCCTGGATTGAGGCAGTAAATGTTTAGTGCGTATCTCTAAAGTAACTTCCTAAAATCTGTGCTAAACCTCCCAAGGAGGGAGTGTAACCAGTTCAACCACTTTTCCCCCTGATCTACAACATCCTTCTCTTTGAGTAATTAGCAACATTCTTTCATTATCTGTAAAAGGTAACCACCTACAGCATAGTAAATGAGCAGGGATAATTACCTATGCAACCAACTCTCCATTAACCAAGGGAGCAAACAGCATACTTTAATAAAGCTATTATTTCTAAACTTTGACATCCGGCCACCGCACTGGATCCTTATTTGTTCTACCTGTTTTTCAGTTAATACTCTTCCCTAGAGTTTCCTTCTTCATTGTTCTTTTTCTAACTGTCTCAGTTGAATTCTTAATCTGTTTCTTTCTAGCCTTTCTTATTCTAAAACAAAAGCCTTCTGTACTACAAATCTGTGTCTGGTCACCACTTTGGATACAGTCCATGCATCTGGACACGTATTCTCCTCATAGAAAGTGTTTCCTAAGAATTCTGTGTTTGTTTTTATTTCCTTTCACCTGAGTTATTTTGAAGAGGCTTTTTTTCAATGTCCAAGTTTTACTGTTTGCTTTGCTGTCATTTCACCTGGTTACTGAGTACATGCCTGATTCCGTTTTACCCACAGCACTCGAACTGCATGTTCCTGTGTTTTGTTAAGATTCTGAGGAGCGCAAAGACTGGCCGCAGGAGCCAAGAGACAGGCGCCATCCCTACCTGCAGAGCGCAGAGACCGGTGAGCGGTCCCCAAGCCTATTTTACAGTGTCGTTGTTCAAACACGGGTAACCTTAAGTTCTGCCTGTGTGATCTGTCAGCTCAGAAAAGCACAGTAAAGTCGACTGCTTTGGGTTTCTTATTTTATGCTACATTGTTTAATTCACAGAGGTTTGTGACAAATAATCAGGGTGGGTTATCATGTTCATCTATCCTTAAAATGTGTCTCGTTATCCCATTCTAGGATTTTGGTCCGGAGTTCTGCTGTCTGATAGTAAAATGATGATGACCACTGCTTTGCTCATCCTTTGGTCTTGGACAGTGTTATTTTTAGACACTCCCGCAATCCCTCTGCAGGACTTGCAACCTGACTCTTTATCAGTGAACATAAAGTTACTTTTGCCTCAAAACCTGTTTTTCTCTAGCACATCGATCCATCTCTCCTGGAAAACACAGCAATGGGCTGGGAGCGGCCTTCAGGGTACACGATGTGACATAGGCCGAAAAAGAAATATGACCTTAACCATGGCTTTCAAGGGAAATCCAAGCATTTCCATTGATGCAAAGTCTGCTGTTAAAATAGCAGGTGCTTATTTACACGGTGGTTTGGAGTCACAGCTTCTGTAGAACTCTACTCAACGCTAGGAATTAACGTCAGTCCAAACAACACACTTTCACTAATGGATTTAAATTCCAGGAAGGTCAAAGTACTTATTCAGGCTGATAATAAGCCTAACACAAACATGTTCAATCTACAATTAATAAGCCTTTTGTACATTCCCAGAGACACTTCAGTTTTCAGAGTATTTTCGTATATACCATTTCACTATTTACAACCTCATAAGGTAAATGAGGAAAGTATTATTATTTCAAAGAAGATGCAAGAACACAGGCTTGCAAAGCTTTCAGGACCTGCCCAAGTTGGTCCATCGAGCTATCCGACATCAGCTACTGGTGGAACACTGGCTTGAGTTACGTCTCCTGACCCCAAGTCCAGCTGAAAACCTGCAAAAACTCAAACCTCGGCAACGAACCAAGTCAATGTCATGCGTCCTGTCAAGGATTCTACTCTATTTTCCTCTACTCTACGCTTTTACGAAAACCCTAAAATCTGGATGTTCTAAGAGGATGAGATTGTGCTCTGATATTTGATTACTCATTTAAATGGCCTCGTCAGAAGCCAGAGGGGGTAAAAAAAAATATAACTGATTTCATCTGATGTAGTCAATGAGTAAGAAGAAAAGATTTGAGTAGTCCCCAAGAACACGTTTCAACAAGCCCTGGCTTACAATACTCGATACTGACAGCTTCTCCAAACCATGGTTTACCTGATGCCAGAGGCCACTTGGTAAGGCGTTGTCTTCCAGACTTCCCCTTCGACGGTTCTCCCATCAGCCACTCTTACTGTGATCCCATTGCTTGTGTCCCCCTTTTTTTCATGAGTAGCAAATAACAGCTGATGATCTTTCTTCAGTGTTTCAAAAAGCTTCAACCGTTCCTTTATGAAATTTGGTGGATTTTTCACCTGAAAAATCATTAGTGGACACTAAGGTCAACTTGCACAGCACACTTTTTCCCAACGGCTCAGCATTACGTAAGTCCCGCCCCCTTCTCAGCATGCCACAGGCCGTGCCCTGTGCCAGTCTCTACTATCCCTCCAATCCCGCCCTCCTCCAGAAGGCTCCTCTTACCTCCTTCTCAGCTCTCACGGTCCAGCTCCAAGCCCAGGCCCGCTAACTACTGCGCCCACTGGTATGTCCCTTTTCCCCATGTTCAATACCCATGGATGAGGAGTCACATAATTCAGCACTTACTTATACACCAGCTGACCTTGCTCTCCAGCTGTTCCGCCTGCTGTTGTCTAAAATCCTCAACTAGACTCAGCCCTTTAAGGCTATGGAGTCCCTCTTCACTCCTAACAAAGGCTGGTTAACACAAAGGAAGAGCTCAACCATCTCAACGTATACAGACTAAGGAGCAGTTCACAGCTGCATGGTTAGCTCATCGCTAAATCAAGACTTCTTAAATCTAAGGAATGCAAAGTTTTAAATACACTACTGTGCCCCGAATGGCAATTTGATTAGGAATTATGTTTTTTTAACAGAAAAACCCGAGGTATTAACTATATGAGCATATTTCAATGCCACGTAGTCTTGTACATTATTTCCATAGCAACGACTCACCTCACTGGCAGGTTCCTCTTCCTTCTTCTTTTTACTGTCCTTTTCTTGGTTTTGACTAGCAAGAGGCTGAGAAATAAAGGGAAATTGTAAACAACTCACACCAATGACAAGACAGAGCAACATGTCTGAAACCTGAGGGAGGAGGGGGACATGCCAGCGGGCAGCAAGTGCCCCCCCCCATTTAGAGGCTCATAGCTGGAGTGTCCTGAGAACCACCTACAACCCCCAACGGGCAAGGTGTTTTCTGAGGTTTGGCCTTTCCTGCCTGTGCATTTCCATATATTTTTGCTCAGAACAGGCAACACACTTTAACATATTTAATGTATTTTAAAGTCACTGGAAAATGGTTCTGTAGCTGCCACCAGAGACTTCAATCATATTACTTCATGATTTTTTTTTACCGTGGTTTTCCTTGGGAAAGGACTGAAAAAGATACCATGGTCTGAAAAAGCCTTCAGAACTTAGGATGTATCACATTACAGAAAGATAATGTATCCTTCAATGAACTAAAATAGCAAAACCCCATATTAAATAATGATGTTACATATACAGATCTCAACACAAAACCCCACCCACCACCTGTCCTAACTAGCTCAGAACTGCCATCCTTAGAGAGAACGTTCACCTATGTAGCTACGGTCTTCCTGCCCAAGGAAAGAACAGAGCTTTAAACGCGCCAGCTTTTTTTTTTTCTTCCAACCAATGGAAAATGCTATTTCTGCTACTGAAAAAAATGTGTGGCAGCAATTTAACGGAAAAGCTAAGCAGGTGCACCATGAGGTCAGTCTGGCGATTGCTGCAAAGGCTGGGACTCCGCGGTGTCCAGGCCACTCCGCGGTTCCGCAGGAGGGAACCTGAGAGCAGGGAGCGCCGCAGGGTCTGGGCGGGACCAGGCCCCGCACACCCCCCGGAGCGGCCCGCACCTGCCCCTGTCGTTCCCGAGAAAAACGCTGCGCGGGCACGTCGCGGGTCGCGGCGCTGCCCGAGGCCTAGGTGGCGTCCCACCCGGTCCCTCGCCAGGAGTCCCCATGCCCCGCTACCTGCGCGCCGGGAGCCAAGCGCCCGGCCTCGTCCTGCGCTGCAGCCGCCGCTGCCGCCTGCGTCGCCCTCTCCAGGTTCACGTGGTGGCTCAGTTCCTCCGCAAGGCACGCCCGCAGGCGGTGCAGGCGGTAGCTCAGGTCGCGGTTCTCGGCCCGGAGCTGCGCCACATCCCGCGTGAGACAGGGCCCCTCGGCCAGGCACCGGTCGGGCGCGTTCAACAGCTCTTCCCTCAGGCGCAGGACTTCCTCCCACAGCCAGGTGATGTCCTCCTCCTGCTGCTGCAGGCGCAAAGCCACCGTCTCCGCCGTCAGGGCCTCAGTCGCCATGGCACCCGCCTCCCTCGTCCAGCGACGCCGCGCTGGGTGGGTAGGGAGAGGCAGCAGCCACCCGTAATGCAGGGCAGCTACTAGGAACGAACTGCGGGTCGCCGGCGCTGGGAGTAGCGTGACCGCGGTTACGTACACGGCAGGGGGGCGGGGCTACATGGAGGCGTGGCTGCGGTTACGTACCTAGCAGGGGCGGGGCTACGGGGAGGCGTGGCTGGGGTTTGTACACTGTCGGGGCGTGGCTATGGAGAGGCGGGGCGACGGTGCGAGGCGGGACTGCGGGTTTGTACACTGATGAGGCGGGGCTACTGGGCCAGCACACTGCAGGGGCGGGGCCGAGGCTGACCACACTAAAGCAATAGGGGCTACCGAGTGCGGAATCCCGCGGTGGCTTCGTCCCGGAGAGTGAGGAGGGGCCTGAATAAACTCAAGGTACTCTCAGGCCATAAACTTGTCGCCATTCCTCGGCTGAAACAAAAATCGTCCAGAATCTTGTGAAAATCATATGTCTCCCCTTGGCAGTACGGCGCCTGTCTTAACCCTACAGAATTCTGGCTTTCGCTATTCTTGCAACTTACATCAACGTTGTAAAAGTGGCTGCTGAGAATCAGCCTCCTTGGCCTTCATGCTGAGGCTGACCAAGAGCAGAGGCTGGAGGCTGCTGGGCCAGGCTACACAGAAGAACTCGACAAAATTTTAAATCTGACCGGCAGTTGCTATAGTGTTCCTCGAGGCTGGGGCAAATGCCACCCACATATGTCTTTGGTATCCCTCATAACCTTGAGCACAAACTTTCCTGTAGTGGGAATGAAAAATGATTCTATTAACATTCTTAGGGGTCAGAATATGGGAAACTTAGAATGTTCCAAGCTTTTTACAAATATTAACGATAATACTTTTAACAGGAGATACTCTTAAACATTTTTAGATGAAGACACTGGAGCACAGAGAGGCTAAGCAAATGGACAGAATTCACACAGCCACTGCATGACAGAGCTGAGATTCAAACTCAGAATAGCTGAGGCCAGTGTCTTTGCGACCTAAATGATGGTACATTTCAGCCTTGGTAAAATGGAATTGGATGTATCGTGTGATGAGATGCAGTTAATAAATGCCTTTGGAGTTCCAAAGTTATTTACATTAAGGGAACTGGAATTGCAAACAGCTCCCAGGAGAAGGTTCCGTAAAGTATGGCACTAAACCCACTGTCTCTTTCTCATACCCTTCCCCAGGAAGCTTCTGGACAGTGACAGAGACTCAGTCACTTCTCAACCTTCTGTCACCAGATTTCTACTACTCCCATTCTGCAGCGACCTTTGTATTGTCGTGGGTCAATCAGGTCAGGGGACCCCATGTAGGTGCCCCACAAGTTTCCTCTGGCTTCTTGGCAGTTCGTCTTTCTTGGGCCCCCAACCCCAACCCACAAACAACCACTGGTCTGCTTTCTGTCACTATGAGTTAGTTTTCATTGTCTAGAGATTTCTGTAAATGAAATCATACAGAATTACTTCTTCTTTTGTCTGGCTTTTTTGCCTTTGCATAATAATGTGAACCATGGCATTGTAGGGATAACCAAACCAGCTATACTGTAGGCTAATTGGTACAAAGAAGAGTTTGGTTCCTATGGCGTAGTGGGAAAATGACATTGAATGAAATGACGTCATTCGAGAACCTGCTGTGCATTCTGCTCAACTTTGCTATGTAAACCTGAAACTGCTCTGAAAATGTCTATGAAAAAAAAAGAGGCCTGGATGGTGTGGCTCAGCGGACTGAGTGCTGGCCTGGGCGAACCAAAGGGTTGCCGGTTTCTCAGTCAGAGCACATGTCTGCGTTGCAGGCCAGGCCCCCAGGTGGGAGCAAGCGAGAGGCAACCGATGGACGTATCTTTCACACAGCGATGTTTCTCCCTTCCTCTCTCTAAAAAAAAGAAATTAAAAAAATCTTTTAAAAAAGAAAAAGAACAGAAAAAAATGTGGACTGAAATACTGCACAATACCACAAGGTGGCACTATTTCCCTCAGAATTTTCAATGCGCGGCCCCAAGGACCCACAGGGCTGGTGCAGAGGGAAGCAGTGGGGATTCTAGGACTGCCCATCCGGTTTTTCACGAGGCTCAAAGCGCTTCACAATATTGTCACAGCCCAGCCCCGGGTGTGTGCTTTCAGTGGGTGTTCTACAACGTAGGTGTATTATTCTGCACGTATGTTGAGGCCAACAGATCAGGTGACTGCTGCCTATGAAAAGATTGTTATTCCCAGTTCCCCAGAGGAGGGGGTCCAGGAAGTTAGAGGAAAACACGTCTGAGCCTTTATTTTAGTTTCCGTAGTAAGAAACAGGCAAGGCAGGGTAAGCAGGCTTAGGATCGGCTAGTTGGCATTTTGGCAGGCTCTGGGGGTCTCGGGGCTGTCCCTGGCTGTCTGGTGCCTGACGGTGGGGTGATTCGGGCAGAGGGATGGTGGCCTGGAGTGTGAGACCCTGGTGAAGGAGATGGTTGGGAGATGGGCTCTGGATTGGCTAGTTTGCATCCAGGCCAGTCCTTTGCTGTCTCCAGGAATTGGCCTCCAGGTGTCACACCTCCAAGGACAATGGTAGTCTAAAGTTATTTTCTCACAGTCTCACGTGAAGTCAGAAGCAAAGGCAGGAAAAGTCTTCTCTCCCGGTTCTGGCTGCCCGACCACCCCAAGGGAGTTTTGATTTCTGAAGAATATATTTTCCACCCCAAGGCGGTAGAAAAATATCTAATTGTTTCTATAAACCCAACAGGCAAGAGTATTTCAATAGCCACAGATCTTTTTGTTAGTTTCCTAAATGGGAAAAAGGAAGACATACTTGGGCTTCATTAAACCATTCCTGTCTACCCACACACGGTCTTAGGGTGGCTCCCAGAGGGGAGACATGTATGGCGTGGGTGGCAGAAGGACCCTGATGCCATCATTCACTCACGTGGGCACCTGGAGAGGAACAGGAGAGAGGGTACCTGGGGGACAGGGCTGGTCACCCACAGACCCAGCCGTGGAGTGTCCTGAGGTTACTCCAGGGCCTGGGACATCCTGGGCAGGTGGCCATGGAGGCTGGCTTGGAGGTATCATGTTATATTCAAGCGATCCACGGTAAGGCATTGCTCGTGCTAGAAGCCCTGCCCCCCTCCCCGAGCCAGGGATCATCCTTCCCTCTAATCTGCTTCATTAAGTGGACACCAGGGCCAGATCAGAGGAGAGGGGTCCGGTAGGCAGCTGAATCACATAACCAGCACTGGCCCTGACTACTGTGGCTCAGTGGGTTGGGAGCCCTCCTGCAAAGTGAAAGGTCACTGGTTCGATTCCCAGTCAGGACACATGCCTGGGGTGCAGGTTCAATCCTTGGTCAGGGCGCATGCAAGAGGCAACCGATCAGTGTTTCTCTCTCACAGCGATGCTTGTCTCCCTCTCTTTTTCCCTCCCTTCCCTTCTCTCTAAAAATAAATACATACCTGGTTGGAGAGGCTCAGTAGATTGAGCATTAGCCTGCAAACCAGAGTTTCCGGTTCAATTCCCGCCAGGGCCAATGCCTGGGTTGCGGGCCAATGCCTGGGTTGCAGGCCAGGTCCCCAGCAGGGGGCGTGCAAGTGGCAACCACACATTGATGTTTCCCTCTCTTTCTCCCTCCTTTCCCCTCTCTAAAAATAAGTAAATAAAATCTTAAAAACACACAAAATCTAAACATTATTTTGCCACCCCTGGCTTTGGCTACTTCTACCGCCCCCAGCTTTCCCCCAAGGCTGCGTCTAAGCCCAAACTATGGTGACAGGAAGAGACAGACACAGAGCCTGATACTGCACAGCCCCCACCACTGTAATGACACCACTCAGTATAGACTATGCGTGTGCTGCATGCATAACATTGAAAACCAGCATTTGGGGGAAGGCAAGGAGGAGCCTGGGACAACGATCATCTGGGAATCTGAGGAAGAATTTCAACAGCTGGCGTCTGTCCTTCGTCTTTTGGATCTAACTGCCGCGAGGGACTAAGGAATACAGCGCAATCCTCTTAGGCCGCGACGGTCAGCACCTCAGGTTTAATCCTAGGCGCCCCCGCTCTCCCCACAGATACGCAGTCCTTCCAGAGGGCGGGCGAGTCCGCCTGCAGGTGTCCATGTGGCGCAGACCGAGCCCCAGAGCAGCGTGGCCCAGCGCGGAGAGCTTGCACCGGCTCTCCCCGAGCCCAGATGGTCGAGAGAGGGGCCAGGGCCTGGTTCTATGGCTGTGAGTTCGCGGCACAGAGAGAGAAGAAGAAGAGGCGCAGGCAGCTCGCGGAAATACCCGGGACTTATAAAGAGAAGATACTGAGTGAATTGAACGTGAGCGGGGTGCTCCCAGCGTTAGTGTACGAGGGCGTGTTCTCCTTGCAGGAGTACCGTGACGTCATGTCCCGGGACTGCTATGGGGAGAGAGTGGAGTCTTTTCTTCTGAAGCTTTGCTCCAAAGGTCCGAAGGCTTTCTGTGCTTTTTGCTCTCATCTGGAAGAATTCTGCCCTTACCTGCTCACCTGCTTCTTTCTTTATTACCAAGGTAAGGACCTAGTTGGCTCTGGAAAGTAGTAAGCTTCCTTGAGGGTCTGATCAAATACTGGGTGTCCCAGCTGCAGTAATAATGAGCTTCCACACAGCGTGAATTTTTATTGTAACAAAAATATCCAATGCTTCGCTCTAAAAACCTCATGATCCAGAAGTTAATGCTGGGCCCTGGCTGGGTAGCTTGGTTGGTTAGAGTGTCATCCCAATATACCAAGGCTGCGGGTTCGATCCCCAGTCAGGGCACATACATGAAGCAATCAATGAATGCATCAATAAGTGGAACAACAAATTGATATTTCCTTTCTCTCTCTAAAAATCAAGAAATGAAAAAATAAATATTCTAAAAAAAAAGAAAGAAGTGTTGCTGACACCAGATAAAACCTTACTTGACCTCCAAGACAAGCTGGGGGACAATTTTAGTTTTGATCACAGTTCCTCAGAAGGTTACGAGCTACCACGTGACCCAGCAACTCCGCTCCTAGGGATACGCCCAAAAGAGATGAAAACATATGTCCGCACAAAAACCTGGCAAAGTGTTCATGACTGCACAACTCACA